AAATAACTGAATGGCAACCAACATCCAGCAGCAAGAAAGGAAGACCTAGAGAAAACTGATACCAACACGTCGAAGACGATCTCACACGCATCGGAATAACAAAGTGGAAAGAGAAATCAAGGAACAGAAGAAAATAGATGCAATTGTAAACCAAATTTAGGTTGATCCGCCAAATAATGATCTTTAAGAAGGCAATGCCCACGAATGGGCGGGTATGCCTAATATATATATATATATATATATATATATATATATATATTCCAAATTTTAGGGATACTGATTTCAGACCCAACGTTGCAATGTCTAATAGACGAGGAAATTACCGCGCAAGAGGTGCCTTCAACCCAAGAGATTTTGTTCACGAAGATCATGAACGTGGGTATGAAAAAGCAGCCTCGAGCCGAATACCACGACCGAGTCCCTAGAGGACGAGGTCAACCGAAAACCGGAGCTAGGAAATCCTACAATGAAAACAGAATTGTCCAGCACCGTAGAGAACAGTCCAAGATTACAGAACATGATTTGGGCGAGGAACTCAGGAAGAAGCTGTTCCCAAGTGTAAAGGATGGGATGTCAGCAATGGATAGAATGGACGCCATCAACACGCTAAAAGCGATTACCATTACGGTTACTACCAGGGCCATCGGATTTGGAGTTACTAACATATTTCTCACTCTTTCATCTCTCAACAACGTACCGATCCGTGGCAACATCTATCAGGTGTACCGTGTTAGTCTGGCTGGCAAGCTACAGATGATAAAACGTTCCCCCACTCTGCCGATCCGTGAGTCAGAAGACTACGTTGAAAATCGGCCTAATGCTGAACTTGAGACTACAGAGACTACGTTTACCCGCGCTTGCTTGAATTTCTTCACGTTGACATTCAGAGCACTGGGCAGAAATCTATCGCTTTCTTCTGACTTCCAAATTTCTTGTCACCACCCATCAACCTGAAGGGTTGCTGATGAGTGACAAGGGTTTAGGAAGGACAGTTATTCCACACACTTCTTAAGCAACACTTCTACAGCACTTCTTACTCTACTCTTCTTCAAGAGTTGGTAAACTTTAACATTATAATAAACATTGTTCGTGATAATTAAACATCGTGTCTTTTAACACTCTATCAATTATAACTCACACCGATCCCACACTTGTACTTATAACAACCAACACTTCACACACACAGGTAAACTCTTTCTTTAAAATGCCTAAACGTAAACGTGTTGTCCTTTCTATGAAAGATAAATACGAGATTAATAAACGGTTAGAGGAAGGCGAATCTGCAACCAAGTTATCCATTGAATACCAAGTTGGTAAGTCTACTATTACGGATATAAAAAAAAAAAGACGAGCATAAGTAAGTTTATATCCCAGCTCGATTCTTCGGACGGATTTGGATGATGCTGTATATAAGTGGTTTACTCAAAAAAGAAGCCAAGGAGAACCTATTTCTGGCCCAATACTATAATGTTCACGCTCTTAATGACACCATGTAAACACCCGATCACGCATCGATGTCACAACGGAAGAAAGTCCAGTAGTACTTCCTAGTACTTAAGCCACTGTTTGGCATTTGTTCAGTTACTAAGTTACAGAAGTCAAGAGAGTTGCCACTGTCACTGTCCGATTCATTATTGTTAAGTACGCGAATCCTCAAGTCCTAAGAGCATCTAATTAAATTCAATATAATAAACGGTTGTCTCCACCAATAAAACTACGTCTTCAATACCACAACAGCCACCTTCACCTTCTAACCAGCGAGTTGCAACATATTTTTGGCGCAGTCGATTCAGATCCAACGTCTTCCAGAAGTTCTACAAGAATGAGTCAGCCAACGTAAGTACAATCCAAATCTATTTTCGAACTCAGTCGAATCAATCACGTTGTATTACTTGTCAATCCTATTTCACACAACTTGTTATAAAACCATTTTATGGTTGTTGAAACTCGCCAGCAAAAGCTTAACAAAGGAATCATGACAAACAATTCAGTTTTGGGAAATGGCTCCACAGCCGAAACCCACACACATAACATGACAGACATTAGAGCAATTATTCCTGATAATTTTGACGGAGATCGAACGAAACTTTATGACTTTCTTCAAAACTGTAGTCAGGCCTAAGCACTTAGCACTGGCAGTCAAAAAACTTTAATTTTATCATACATGGAATCAAAACTAAAAGGAATAGCTCGTGCACAAACTCGATTCACTGAATTCCACTCGTTCGACGACTTTAAGACCTGTCTAATGAGATTGTTTGGAGATAAGCGCGATTTTTCACAAATTTTAGAAGAACTAAATAGCATAACTCAACTTTAGAACGAAAACGTCCAAACATTTTATAACAGAATCACACAACTCCAAACAATTGCACTAAATAAAATCGCGTCTACAAATACGGCTACTCAAAACGGAAAAATCGAATTGATCAATGAAATCGCTCTCTCTAGACTCATCTTACATTCAAACGACGAAATCTCAAACGCACTACGTCGTTCTAAACCGACCGATTTAAACACAGCTTTATCCGAAGCTATCGATGAAGAGAAATTCTTATTAGCAAGGAGAATGAAAACCTCAACCTTCCCATCAAAGAAATTCTGTAACTTTTGTAAAATTCCCGGTCATTTAATATCAGAATGTAGGAAAAGACAATTCGCGGACTCTAATACTCGGAAAGTAAATCAAGCAGTGTCAACAATTCCTATAAGACGAATCAACCGTCAAGTTCAAGACCTGTCAACTCTCATCCGCAACCTCCGAAAATCTGTAATTATTGTAAAAAACCAGGTCATCTGATTGGAGAATGTTGGAAATTAAAAGCAAGAAATTCTGGCAATAATCAACAAGTTCATTTTACGCAAACTGCGAATTTAAACTCAGTCCGGGGCGAGTGTCACGCACTCGGACAATTAGATCTTTTAACCTTCGACACTTCTAGCAGACAACAGCACCAAATTAATTTAGCAGACAGAAATAATTTATCTTTTATCGTGCTACCATACTTAACCGCTAATAATGAAATTATCCATTTTAAATTCTTTTGGGTGGTTAATGCGCCAACGTCTCTATTATTATTTCAAGCGATAAAATCCGTCAAACGGGTCTCTACGGTGCTTATGCCCCTGAGCAGCACCCGAAGTGCCGTACTGTCGAACGAACGCAGATTGCAATTCTGAGTGCCCAACGGAGGTCTTTGAGGGTTCGGCCGCCTAATTTCGGAGCAGCTTGAGGGTGCCGATAGCCTTCGTAACATGCTGTACGCATTCGCTGCCTCTCTGGCGCGGGGTGAAACTGCCTTACCGCGCCTTCGCTCTCACTCACAACCGCACCCCGGTCGTCTGCTGTCTCAGTCTCGCTCATTCATCGAAATTGGTAAGGGAAGGCCTTTGCCGGAGCCGTGTGCTCAAAGTAGATGTGAAAAAAGATGAAGATGACAAAGAATTGCACGCATCGAGTGTATCTGTATTTTCAAATGCAAAATTCCACGTTTTCGCTAAAAATTTCAAATTAAAAAACTCCCAAAAAAAAACAATAAATTTTAGATAAATATTTTGTCAATTTTTCACAAGTATTTGCGGATAATGAGCCAAATACGTAGCATATAAAAGTTTATTTATATTTTGATTGTGTTTCTTCAAAGCGTAATTTAAAATCAAACAATGAAACACAAATAACTTTTGATTGCGACTTTCAAACGTCAGTATTGAACCGAAATAGAAATAATAAGTATTAACACATATTTGTTGCATATTTGAATAATTGAAGAACCCATACATTTGAAACTCGCGCGCTTTCTGTCAAATTTAGGGTGCAAAGGGATTGACTTAGGTAAAGATATAGATGCGCGCAGCACAGAATACCACTTGCGGCCGATCCATAACTTCGCCGTACGAAGCGTCTTGGAGCTTTCGTACGTTCGTTTGTTAAGTGGTGAACACAGAATCGCACCATAAAGCCAAACAACGAAGAAATCATTTTAATAAATGGGATATCTCCGGATAAACCCATCGAATCAATCGGGACCGTCGACTTCTGTTTCCACATTGAGCAAACAGCTCACCAAATTCATGTGGTTAACAGTCACACCAACATCCCTTGCGATGGATTGATTGGTAATGACTTCCTTCGTTCGCAAAAAGCACACATCGATTATAAAGAATGTAATATTAGGTTGAAAGAATTACCTAATCCCTTAAAAATTTATAATCGTAATGCCGATGCTAACACCTTGCAACCGCGTTCGGAAACAATTATTGTAGTAAATATTTTAAATAATGACCTCACCGAAGGTATCACTCCCGAAATTAAAATTTCCGACGGCGTATTTTTGGCAAAGGCCATTCTAAAGGTCAATCGTGATAACAAAGCACGCACAACAATCGTAAACACAACGGATAAGAAATTAAAAATCAATTATATTAATCTATTTTTGGAACCATTAACAAATAACGAAGATAACAATGATTATCCTAATGGTGTCGAAGTCAACTCAAGTATTGCAAACAATAGCAATTTCGCGGATAGGCTCCAGCAATTAAGTCAAATGTTGAAGTTAGATAGTTTAAATTGTGAAGAAAAGAATTCCGTAATCAATATTTGCAAAGAATATAATGAAATTTTCCACTTGCCAAACGATAAACTATCTACAACTGATACAATTTCACATCGAAAACACGATAAGCCGATTACGTCCAAAATGTATAGGTACCCCAGGGTACACGAGCAAGAAGTCGACAAACAAATAAATAAAATGCTCAACGATTCGATCATACGTCCTTCTAATTCACCTTACAATGCACCTTTATGGGTGGTAAAGAAAAAATCTACCACACCAGGCGAACAAAAATAGCGCGTTGTCATCGATTACAGAAACTTAAATGATGTCACCATTGGCGACTTTTTCCCGTTACCAAACATTGATGAGATTCTTGACAGATTAGGACACTCAAATTATTTCACAACTCTCGATTTAGCTAGTGGTTTCCATCAAATTAAAATGGACCCCAAGGATGCGCATAAAACTGCGTTCTCCAGTTCCACAGGTCATTTCGAGTTTGTTAGAATGCCTTTTGGTCTCAAATCAAGTCCAGCTACGTTTCAACGACTGATGAATCTCGCACTAACAGGTTTGCAAGGAAATCATTGTTTTGTTTACCTCGACGACACAGTTATTTTCGCCTCTTCTTTAGATGAGCATTGACAAAAATTAAAACAAGTTTTTCAAAGGTTGAAGCAGCAAAATCTCAAATTACAACCCGATAAATGTCATTTCTTACAAAAGGAGATATAAGAAGATATTGAAATGAATGAAATAAATTTAAGTAATAGTGATATAAGTACTAGTGAAATAAGTACTTCGACTGAAAGTTTACCAGAGACAAATGTAAATGAACTAAATACAGGTTTAAGACAAAGACGACCTGGTACTGTTTAGAGAAAGAAACTTTTGATTTAACAAGAAACACTTCTAACTGCCAGCTACAACAACTTTTGGGAAAATTTCGAGCAATTGTTGTTTTGCATTTTAAACATAGCACAAAAGCTTCTTATGCCTTACTCAAAATGCAAGAGCAACTAAATGTAAATACATTGAAACTCAAGCAAGACGTTCGGACTCGATGGAATAGTATTTTTTATATGCTCGGACGTCTATTAGTGGTTAAAATACCTCTTTCTGCTACTTTGCCACAGTTTAGACACATCTCCGCCATCCAGTTAACTCGAGTTCAACCCGAGTTGCGTGGATTTTAACACACCTCGAGCGGGGCGTCTATCCGTAGACGATCTGCGGATTGTGCACTATAGGCGGGGCGTCTATCCGTAGACGCTCTGAAACTCTTGCGCTGACTTACTATTCAATGCTCTTTCTAGCGACCAAGGGTCGAAAAATTGAAATTACTTACATTGCATCCCCATATTGTTGAATCGACGATTTATAGGTGATGATTAGTTGCGTTGTGCAACACTAGATTTATGTTTATTTGATTTGAATATTATACTCGAATACTTGAGTTCTTGAATTTGTATGTTTATTCGTATAATTTACACTGCAGTCGGATTTTTCCGTCGACATATGACTTGGATTTCTTATTGCTTACTAATAAATAAACAATAAATATGGGCCTAAGATTAAGGGGTTTCTTACAACTGAATTATTCTTCAGTTGATTTCCCTCGAGATCAGTTTAGTTTGTCAACCGCCATGGAGTTTGAAAGTGAGAGTGAGAGTGAGTTTTTCGCGGATAATTTATCAGACATTGAGCAGCCGGATCTGAGTGATGATAGTGATAGTGAGGACATTTTTACAAGACGAAGAAACCCTAGAATACCGCTACAGTCTAGCACATCAAGTGATAGTGAAGATGAAATCATCCCGGATTGGTCCGAGACTGATACTGAACCGGTAATTGAAGATTTTCTTGGACAAGTTGGGGTAGTCATGATGCCTGAAAATCCCGCTAGTATAATGAGCGTACTTCAACTTTTTATTGGTGACGATTTGTTTGAGTACATGGCACAAGAAACAAATAGATATCACGCCCAAAATATACATAAATTTAAAGTTAGTGCCAAAACGCTAAAGTGGAGAGATGTTTCTGTGTCAGACATGAAAAAGATGATGGGCTTGCTTCTGCTGATGGGAAAAGTGCGCAAGGATTCAAGGGACGAGTACTGGTCAACTGATGAAACCATCGAAACACCAATTTTTGCCCGAATATTGAGTAGAGACCGATTCCGTCAAATATGGGCTGCTTGGCATTTTTCAAACAACGCCGAAGCGGATCTGTCAGCTGACCGTCTACAAAAAGTTAGACCGATCCTAGACTATTTTCTCCCAAAATTTAAAAATGTCTATAAACCAAAGAGGGAATTATCTTTAGATGAGAGCATCATGGCATGGAGAGGAAGATTAGTCTTTAAGGTTTACAACGCGTCGAAAATAAATAAATATGGGGTATTGATACGAATGGTTTGCGAAGCCACTTCCGGGTATGTGTGCAATCTCCGAGTATACTCCGGGCAGGGATATCCACTTCAAGCTACAATTCTTCATCTTTTAGACCCGTATTTGAACTTGTGGCATCATGTATATATGGATAATTTTTATAACAGTGTAGATACGTCGGAATTATTGTTGCGGAATAAAGTGCGTATTGTGGGACGATTAGGACAAAATCGCGGCTGCCACTTTTAAAAAATATAAATTATTAAAGGGTCAAACATCCTTCCGTCGTCGCCAGGATGTGTTATTGCAAGCCGGCGGCAACATAAAACGCACCGCAGAGAATGATTTCCACCATTCATTCAGAAGCGACCATGCAGGTGAAAGTGAAAATACGGACTGGGCGACGACGAAGGAAAAAATATGGAAGCCAATATCAATCATCGACTATAATAAGTTTATGAAGGGTGTTGATCGCGCGGACCAGTATTTATCATATTTTTCCATAGTTCGGCGTACCAAAAAATGGACTAAAAGACTAACTATGTATTTATTCAATTGTGCGCTGTTTAATTCATTTCATGTGTTTCGAACCATAAATGCAGTCAAAAAGACTTATAAATCATTTTTACTACATGTTGCAAAAGAGTGGATAAAAGCTGCTGATGAAGTGGCAGAAGAGGCAGTACCAAGCACTTCACGTGCATCAAATCGCGATACTCCCACAAGGCTTTCTCTGGATGCAAGAAAGCACAAGTGTATAAATATTACGGGAAATAGCGTACATAGGGTACAACGGCAATGCAAAGTTTGTGCTGCCAAGAAAAAGAAAAGCCGTACCTGCTTTATGTGCCAGCAATGCAATGTGCCTCTTCATAAGGGTGATTGTTTTTTTTCGTATCATACCAGCCAAAAATATTAGCCAGAGAATGTTTTACTAATAGTTATATTTTATATTTTTATATTTTTATAGTTATATTTTATATTTTATATTTTTATATTTTTATAGTTATATTTTATATTTTATATTTTATATGCAAACACAAATAAATACAATACAAAACAAAACATTGCTCTTGAGAACTGCGTTTCGACTGTGTTTATTTCAGAGTCACGTACCGCTGACGCGCCAAATCGTGCCCGCTACAGTGTCTAGTCGACCGATTCAGCGCAGCCGCTCGAAGTGTGTTAACTAGGGTTAAACAGAGTTTTTTCAGAGTTGGCACATCACTAGACGAAATGAACACGTCGCACCAAACCAGCTGATCTGCCCAGAACCGCACCGTGCGCATGTCGGCGAATAGAGGGGAGCGTGAGGAGTAGAATTTTAAAACCGACTACCTGCCCGGCGATCTTCGTGCACTCTTTTTTCGTTAGCAGACAGAGATAGTTATAGTATTGTAACGCTTTGTAACGTACAATATTTTTCGTTTTTCTTTCTCAAATGAAAACAAGTAGGGGCCCCGTTGGTATGTCAACTCAAGGTCAAGCAATGTACACACTGACATCGAAAGCGTGAATTTGATAGTGTAATTCATGTAGCTATGCGTGAGCGGAGCGGGCGAGTTTCAAATCTATGTGCTATTACACAAATATATATTAATGCTCATTATATACGAGTTACTGAAGATGCCCTCGTGTACAACTCCATCAAAAATTTCTAATCTAAAATCATGTGTAATTTTCACAATGAACATCTTAATATATAAAAATCCAAAGTCACTGTGTATGTGATATAGATTTTACGAAACTCGACCCCACTCGAGATCGTACTAACAATGTTATAAGACACAGATATGAATAGATGGCCTGCACGACCATAAACGGTGCTGTTTAACACCAATTTGTATTAAATTTAAGTTTTTATTAAATTTTAGTACATTAATGTTTTCACTGATTTCCATTTTTGGATTTAATATTTGTACGTTGTGATACAAATAATTTAGTTTTTATTTATGTTTCGCTTAACAGCAATTTACGTTTAGTGCTTCGTCACGTTTTAAGTTTTTGATCTCAGTTGGTTTTATTGGTTATGTTGAAGAAAGATATATTAGTCTTCTTTAAAATTATTCTTTATTGAGGTTGAAGCGCACGAGGCAAGGGACACCGACGAAATGAACACGCCGCACCAAAGCAGGTTATCTGCTCAGAACCGCACCATGCGCATGTCGGCAAATAGAGGGGAGCGTGAGGAGTAGGATTTTGTAACCGACTGCCCGGCGATCTTCGTGCACTCTTTTTTTCGTTAGCAGACAGAGATAGTTATAGTATTGTAACGCTTTGTAACGTACAATATTTTTCGTTTTTCTTTCTCGAATGAAAACAAATAGGGGCCCGATGGTTTGTCGACTCTCAGGCAAGCAACGTACATCGTACGATCACGTGATTTACGCGTGATTTTGACAGTCTCACTCATATCACTACGCATGTGTGGAGCGCGCGAATTTCAAATCTATGTGTTCTTTTATAACCCAAATACTGTATATATTAATACTCAGTATTTTTGAAAACAATAGTTTTACAAGAGATTGAGAATTAATAGTAAGCAAAAGTAAAGTAAACTATACTGTACGCTACACCCTCACAAGTTATCGTTCTGAAAACGAGACTTTATTAAAACAGTTGCAAGTCAATGCAAGTATCCACATCAGGTTTGACAAATACTTACAGTGTTTACTTTACTTTTGCTTACTATCATTATTTCTTGGTTTGGTTTTAATTTACCTTTGAATCAAAGTTATCGAAATAATATTATCCTTGAAATGTTTGACTCATTATACTCGTAAACAAATACTAGTGAAGAATTTACATAATATTCAACTTAAATACTGAATATTTAACCAAGCTAAGTAATGTATACATTTACTGTACGCTATAACAATACTGAATATTTGTAAATTTTTGCTTGAAGCTATCTTGAAATGTTGAATTGGAGAAAGCAGATACATATATTCAATGCGTGTCATTTATTCTTCTTCATCTTTTTTCACATCTGTTGAGCACATGACTCCGGAAAATATTCCACTTCACCAATTTCAAAGAAAGGCAGGCTTCAACAATACTGTGCGAGTGAGAACGAAGTACAACTGTGAGTCACACACACGCCACAAGAAAAGTGCATGCGTATATCGTTTTTATTACTGATTTTTCACGTATCGAGCGTCGAGAAGTGTGTTTATATTTTTCTTTTTTTATTACTTTCGTTGCTGAATATGTTATGTACCTATCTATAATATCTTGTATTTAATTATATTTTTACTTAGTCTAAGAACCTTTATCTATGTTTAGCTTAAGAACCTTTATCTATGTTTAGTCTAAGAACCCTTATCTATGTTTAGTCTAGGAATTCCTTGCACGCCCTTGAAGTGCGTGAACTATTGAAACTGTCTTTGTGTAGAACGGTATATATACGCTAACAAAATAGTAAATAAAATCAGTTCGTAAACCAGAGGCTAAAAGACTGGTCGTCTTCACCATCGTCGTCATCATCATCCGTACAAGTTTGATTTCCATCACAAGAAGCATCCACGGTTTGGTACATAAATGCAGTCGCCTGAACTTAGGTTACCTAATCTCATAATAAAAACTCAGGATGTGTACCTAAGCCAAAGAAACATTCCCAATTAACGCCACAAAATGTCAATAATTACGTAAAAATCAAAAAGGCAACTGCACGCGGAGTTCCCAAGCGGTCTCCCATCCAAGTACTACCCGCGCCCGACGTTGCTTGACTTCGGTGATCGGACGAGAACCGGTATATTCAACGTGGTATGGCCGTTGCCTACTGCATATAGTATTAATATAGATATTTAACTATATTTATAAGAGAATCTCTTATGCATTAAGTTTTAACAATAGAGTAATTAATACATCTATAAACCGATTCGGTATGCGTCATTGCCTTTTATTGAAGACAGATATGCTTATATGGGTATGAACGGAAAATTTTTGTTGTTTATGTTGGGCCCCGACAGAAAATATCCACTTTTGCGTACCGTAAATGAACGCCATGCATATTTATTTTCATATAAGTTCTTTAATACGTGACCTTCTGAATGCTCTACCAATAATCTTCAGCTTTCGGTAGAGTAGCAGTCCTCTTCCTCCTTATGCACTCCGCATACCGGGGACACCGACACGCCGTTCCTCGATCACGGCTACATCGACACGACTCCAAATGTTCATGGCACATGGTCATCTCAATGCGCAAACGAGTGGCTTCGCATTTTAAACAATCACAATCTTTTCCGTGCTTGCTCTCCATGCGTTCCACTATTGCCAACAGTTGTTTGCGCCGTTTTTCCATCTTCTTCGCAAGGATCCTATCTTCACGCACCTCCTTTCTACCCGCAATGCAATCAGCACATTCGCAATTTGCAGGGTGATGTAGAAGGCAATAACATCGCTCACCTATCTGCAAAACAAATTTATGAAGGTCGTCTTTTTCATTATCGAAGGCAGACAGCGCTTTGGATTCTTTCTTTGGCTTCAAAGTGGCATGAATGCCTTGCCCACACGCAGAAGAAGTGCACTTTGAACATCGACAGCCATGATCATGTGGTTCGTAATAAACTGATGGTTTACAATTATCTGGAAACTGTTGACGGTAGTGGAAGTCTTTATCTTCTTTACAAATGTGGCAATCGCAATCAGTACCATGATTCCTTTCGCATGGTTCCTTCACAAAAATGCACTTCTTATCCCAACGCATTGGTTCGCACTTTGAAGGTGGACAGCATGGCTTTGGTTTGGCATCCGGAGGATTATGCCTGGGACAGGTGGGACAGGTCTTCGGGCATGTGCGAAACCATTTCTCCATCGACGGTGATAACTTGCTGAATAAGAAATCACGCGACATGCTTAATTGGGTGAAATGATGTGATACGGTGAATTTAGATGGTATGTGATAAATTTTATATCATGACCGTCACATACTGTCAGTTGAGGTTATTTTTCTAACCTCTGCAATGCAATAATACAAATGGCACCATCTTGTGTTCAAAAAGCATATCTAAAGTTTAAACATCCGAAATCAAGTGGTGCACTGCTATTACTCGCGTTGACATTTCGACACACATATCAAAATTATTAGTAAGTAAAAATTCCAGTGAAAAATCAAGAAAATGGATATATGAACAAAATTCATGAGCAGCACCTAATTCTTCATTTTGAACAATGTCAGACGGTTCGGACATATCAGCCCTTTCGGAAACATCTGATGGGCGTCGTTCATACCATGACCGAACTAGGACTAAATTCACCAAAACTAAAGGATCACACCGACACCATAAACAGTGGTACCCTTTTGACGAGAACGAGCGTCCATTCCATGGAAATCACACACCGCTCAACAAATCAATGAAGAAACACATGTACGAGGCGTCAAGAGGTATGTCAGACGATGAACATGGTGTTAGTAACAGTAGCAGTGCAATGAGTCAAAGTCAAGTCAGTGAAAGAAATAATCACACAGATGACTACATGGTGGAACCAGACGTAAGCGGCACGCATAGTAAACACAGGCATAAAACGAAAAGAAAACAAGTGAGTGATGATGATGATGACGACAGCGATGAAGATGGCGATGTCAACGTTTCGGAAGAATGTGATGCTGATGAGAGTGTACAGGAAGCACGATCCCATAAGAAGGTCACGTGGGATAAAAAACTTAAATCAAAGAGTAAAAGTAAAGCTAAGCATGAGTCACATCGCAAGTGCCAGAAAGAACACAAGAAATCGTGTGATAGAAAACGGAAACGGCCTGCTTCAAGTGGTTCGAGCACGTCACAAGCTTCCGGAAAACCAGAAGGTGGTGATTCTTCGTCTTCAAATACCACAGGCGGAAAGAAAGGGAAAGGAATGCGAAAGTGTGAAAAGAAAAAGAAGAAGAAAAAATGTAGGGAAGAAAAGTCATCCAAAAAGAACTCACCTGATAAGTGGTAAGATATTTTTGATAGTTATTATGTAATTATGCCAATTTAATAATAACTTCGCTTATTGTTATTCATAAAGCTCGAAACGCTCAAAACGCACCTCCAATACAAACGTCCATAGTTGTGCCAGCAAGAACAGTTTGCGATCGCTGATATCTACATCAACATGCTGCATTATGTAATCGTCATTGTTTCCGGCATTGCTGCATGAAAACCTGCGCACTGTCCAACATGGTGGGCTTAAGAATGGGCTGTACTCAATATATTCTATAGAATTGTATCTATAATCTGAAACAAACGCGTCAAATATTAAATGTTTTGGTATAATTTTCTTATCCTCGACCGTCGTTCGCCCTCTGTTGTCAAAACTCGAATAAATTTGTAGCAATGGTTGCATAACATCTTCTCACGCAGTGGTGCACAATACACTTTCGAGAAAACATACCCAAAACCCTTTTCGCACGTTGATTGTAAGCATTTAAAGGCGAAAATGTCATTAAAAAAGTAATTTTATTCGGAAACTTAAACATAATTACACTCAGGGTTTCTTTTGTGAATCCGGGATGTGCAGCTAACCTAAAAATAAAAACATATGCACATTATTTTTATCATTTTCATTAAATTACTATTTTCTTCTTACTTTTGACATCCCTTCCGTTTGAGTTTGCGACTCCGAGTGTCCCATCCCCGGCGGCCATTTGCATTCTCAATACAACATATTTATTTCTTAATAAACAACTGATAAGTGATAATGATGTAACATGCTAAATATAATTATTATCACAGTCGTTTTCATAACCTCCAACCAACTCTAATAGCTAATATCATGCGTCCTATAGTGTGGATTTCCGTAATTGACAAGCAGCGCAAGTTCAACTGCGCTGTAGCCTATCAATTGTTTCAAGTCGCAGACGAATTTATACACAAATCGCTTGCCGTGCACTTTAGATATCATGTCGCCTTCGTAATAGTACCTCAAAGCTCTTGACAACTTCTCATAGTTCATTGTGGGTTTGTTTTTGCGCTCGCCCCATAATTTGGCGACCTTCTCCGGTTGGTTTAATTTGAACTCACCCTCGACACCCAACCAAAAGATGACAGTTTTATATTGTCGAGTTGTGAGCAGTTCGAGTAGAAATTGCCAAAGTTGTATTTGCCCACTGTTCCCACCTCCAGCGCGATGGGAGGTTCCGTCCAGATACACATACCGTGTATTATTATGACTGACTTTGTTTTTTGGTTTCATAAGTTTCTCACTGGGCGGTTTATGTTTATCTTCTTTAATTACAGCTGCAAAATATTTAAAAAAAATTGAAATTTGGTTATGTATGCGTTGCTATCGATTTACATACCAACAACTTTCATTTTTCTCAAAAGTTCGAAATGCGTCCAGAAAATGTCGCCAGGATCGTTGGGCACTATTTTGGAAAAGTCATGAATGTCCATAGCAAATAGATCCGCACCGGTAATAGACCAATCGGAGAGTTGTAGCTTAGGCAAAGAGAATTGTCGCACCGCCCATTGTATCCAATGACGGACGTGGAAAACGCTCCACTCCTCCGGATTCGCCGGAATTTTAAGTCTATCCTGCGCTGCTTTAAAGGCGGAATCAACTTGCCACTCGTGAACTGGTTTTTCGCGCTTGATATGACTTATTGAACGCGGTGTTTGTTCTGTATCCTCATCCAACTTGGGATTCGAGACTTCATCATCGATGGCGTCCGGTTCTAATTGATCCAAATCTTCAACGTAATCCTCGGCTGGTTTTAGGACGTCAATGATGTTTATCCGCTTGAGGTGTTGTTGGATTTGCACGTTTACTTGAACAACACCCTCGCCTTGCACGCATTGGTCAACCAGGTTCTTGTGTGATTCCAGCTGAAAGTAGAAAGTAAAATGTCAGTGTCTATGGCACAGAATATTCAATTTGTCAGTTAGGCACGTCCGCAAAAAAATTCATGCGTATAAATTCATGTGATTTCAAAACGCGGTGCATACATGGACGACGCGGAACAAGGCGACCATCCATTCTTTAATTTCATGCAGCAATTTCGCCAACAATGCAAGGGTATGTCAGATGTTCAAATAGCCGTGGAGGCGGCACGGCGATGGCGAGAAATGCCACAGGCAGAACGCCGACGATTTATTGCGTGCTGCCGAGGGAAATGCCCGAAAGGTAAACATACCAGCAAGCGCAGTAAAACATGGTGTCCATTCAACGAAGATGAGCGACCGTATCGCTGCAATCATACTCCAGCATGCAACAAGTCAAAAAAGAAGAAAAGGGAAGAGTGTCCACCGACTAAATGCCCCTCACCGCATGGCCGACATCAAATAAGTAGTGATAATGTTAAAAGTGAAAGTTCATGCAGTGATTGTGAACCAAAGAAGAAAAATGCTGTAAAAAGCCAGCCCCGAAGTGCCCGAAGAAAAAGGAACTCAACTGTTGTGAAATAAGAAAGAAAATGAAATGTAAGGATGATGATAGTGAAGAGTCTACTGAGTGCGATGATGATCATCAAGACCATTCATCATCACTGTAAATACAAAATAGTTAACATTGCTTTACACTACTGTAACAAAGAATATATTGAGCTAATGTTGTTTACCCAATTGTGAATCTGCAAGTTCAGAGGACATTGGTCCCGAGAGCATATCATTGCTGTTGTCTTCATCCGCTTCTAACTTGATATTAATGCTTCTTGGAGAGTGGTCCAGTGTTCCGTTATCGAATATATAACTAGATCACAATAATTAATATTAACACAAGTTGATCATTTATAAAATTATGGTAATTATCGAATTTTTCGCAAATATTACCTGTGATTTTGATCAGTTTGGTCTACAGGGTATGTGTTTACTTCGCCGTTTTCATCCACACCCATAACAAACAATGAGGGCATGCTGCTATCCATCGTTACAATTGTTGAAAATATAGGAATCGATTGCAAGTAACAAATTTATTAACTGTGGAAACAAACGTTAGCAAGCATTGCGTTTTGTTTTGGTTAAAACAAGCGGCCAGCGCGTTTTCAGGTTGTGGAAATACAAATAACATTGATAGAGGTTCGAACAGTCTAGAGACTGTTAGAAAAGGATAGCAATACCATCTTGAAGTGAGTTTTATACTGAGGGTCCCTAATGTAGAAACAGTTTGACACATGGTAATCATGGGATTCTTGTTTGAGTAGCTTTCTTTATCAAATGATATCCTGCACATATCGCTTATGTTCACTTGTTTTAACTTGGCAATCGTGCAATATCGCACCCAAAACTACCGCTCGGCCATGCTCAATAGGCATTCCATTTGTACTCCGTAATACGAGTAAATACGAGGTAGTACGATTGGTGATACAAGAATATAAACGCCTTGCTTTTGTGGGACACTTGGTATAACACCAGTATCGTTTGCTCTGTCATACTAATAAGATCATATAATTTATATTGATGGTGCTTGATGCTATGCTTTGGAGGTTAGGTTCAAAATTGATTGCAGCCCGTACGGCATGCCTCGGCATCAATTTGATGCACTTCCAATTACCTCATTCTGCATTCAGTGAAATATACAGATCACTGGTTGGAACCATTAAAAACAATGAATGCTTTTTACACAAATGAATTTCGTTAAAATTGGTAGGATTCTAGTTCAACCATTTGCATCAATGCTAATTAATACCGTTTTCTAATTTTTTTGTATTTTTCCTTTTACGAAACTGATAAAACCTTCGCTCGCTCTTGATGAGCAGCAAGAATATTTAAATGTAAATACAACAAAAGATTGTTATTCTCAAACACCATACAATTTTACAAGCACAAGTTATCATCAATGTCATAATAAAAAATTCTTCGGTGATTCCATTGGGTGTTTTAGATGTTACAATTTCGACGATGCAACTCGACACAATCGATTCTATGGTGTTCGGGCGTGTTCGCAATTCTTCTATCAGCTATAATTAAAAAACGAATGTTGCTCTCATTTGCACCATAGTTACATAATAGTTTTTTTTTTCGGTTTGTTTAAGAGAATGTACTGTTGTTGGGATGAGTTCTTCTTTGACAGCCTACTAAATTGTTTTACGGGGAATTAATGACTCGATTTAGGCTTAAGCGCACACTTAAGTCGATTTCGCGAGGGTCTCGGCCTTCTGGACGACCTCCTCAATGGGGCCCACCATGTAGAAAGCTACCTCGGGCAAGTGATCGTAATCACCTCCCAAGATCTTTTGGAAACCCTGTATAACAAATACAATTAATAAAGATTATTATAAATAAATTTAGATTCTATTTACCTTGATGGTCTCTTCAAGAGGTACCAACTTGCCGGCGTGACCGGTGAAGACCTCAGCGACCTGGAAGGGCTGGCTAAGGAAACGCTGGATCTTACGCGCGCGAGCGACGGTCAATTTGTCGTCTTCAGACAATTCATCCATACCCAAGATGGCAATGATATCCTGCAGGGATTTGTAATCCTGGAGGATCTTCTGCACGCCACGAGCAATGTTGTAGTGCTCGGCGCCGATGATGTTGGGGTCCATGATACGGGAGGTAGAATCAAGGGGATCCACGGCGGGGTAAATACCCAACTCAGCGATGGCACGCGACAACACAGTGGTGGCGTCCAAGTGAGCGAATGTGGTAGCAGGGGCGGGATCAGTCAAATCGTCAGCGGGTACGTAAATAGCCTGCACGGAAGTGATGGAACCCTTCTTGGTGGTGGTAATACGCTCCTGCATGCTACCCATGTCAGTGGCCAAAGTGGGCTGGTAACCTACAGCGGAGGGGATACGACCCAACAAGGCAGATACCTCGGAACCGGCCTGAGTGAAACGGAAAATGTTGTCAATGAAAAGCAGCACATCCTGACCTTCCTGATCACGGAAATGCTCAGCGACAGTGAGACCAGTCAAAGCGACACGGGCACGAGCGCCTAGAAAATTAAACGCAATAATTAAAAAATAAACAAGCTAAAATTTATGGATATAGTTTTACCTGGAGGTTCGTTCATCTGTCCGTAGACAAGCGCTACTTTGGAAGTCTTCTCCTTGAGGGAGATGACACCGGACTCAATCATTTCCTGGTACAAATCGTTACCCTCACGGGTACGCTCACCCACACCAGCGAACACGGAGTAACCACCATGAGCCTTGGCGACGTTGTTGATAAGCTCCATGATCAATACAGTCTTGCCGACACCAGCACCGCCGAAAAGACCAATCTTACCACCCTTCGCATAGGGAGCCAACAAGTCTACGACCTGAAACAAGAAATTACCATAAATACCTTCAAATTTCTAAAAAATTCGGCGTTTATTATCATACCTTAATGCCAGTGACCAAGATTTCCTGCTCGACGCTCATGTCGACGAACTCGGGTGCTTCAGCGTGAATGGCAGCCAGTCTCTCAGTGGTGATGGGGCCCCTCTCATCGATGGGCTCACCGATGACGTTCATGATGCGGCCCAGGGTCTCAACGCCGACAGGGATACGGATGGGGTAACCGGTGTCGAGCACGTTCTGGCCACGGACCAGACCTTCAGTACCGTCCATGGCAATGGTACGTACGGTGTTCTCACCCAAGTGCTGGGCAACCTCGAGCACCAAGCGGGCTTCGCGGTTCTGTACTTCCAGAGCATTGAGGATGGGTGGCAGGTTGTCTTCGAACTGTACGTCGACGACGGCACCGATAACGGCGACGATCTTGCCCTTGGCAACGCCGGAGGCGGCCGCAGCTTTAGCATAACTCTTGTTTTCTGTTGATCAAATAATTAAACAAAAATTAATCAGAGTGTGAATTGAGCATGCATTCAATTATGTAACACCGTGTTCATATTATACCTAGGAACGGCTGAATGTAGTGAAGTGATTGTTTTAAGTTATTTGGTATGTTTATTGCAACAAAAAAAATTTAAAACCTGCAGATTTTTCGTTTTTTATTTTTATGTTGGCAACACAAAGTTCTCTCAAAGCGGCGAAACGCAAGATGGCGGCCGGTTATACATGCCCCGATTATGTAACTTCAAATAGTGAAAATTCGCAAAGAAACCTAATAAACATCTAAAACCATCTACATCCCGTTGACACAATCTTCATTCTTGTTATTTAAGCACTCCATCATATTGTTAAAGATAAACTAACCGAAAATATTCGCAATTCCGAGTGACTACGTAACACCTCACCTTCACGCGAGCACGATGTCGGCCTATCATATGAATTTCTCGATTTTCATGACAAATACCAAACCGCGGAGAATAAATATCAAAGAATAAGATTTACTCACGGTTGGCAGTTTGCACTCCAAATACTTTAAGCGCTTCCGCGCCCAACTTCTCCAAAGATTTGCCAGCCAAGAGGCTGGCGCTCGAACGTGTTACGGCACCCAACATGGTCGGTCGATGTGGGATGTGATCGCTGAACAAACCGCTGACCGATAGACAGCCGCCGACGGTCGTATGCGACGTGCGCGACATTTCATCGTCGAACGTATGCGAACATACCCGAATCTACGCGCATGCGCGCTAAGTATAATAAAAATTATATAATTTAATTAAAACGGGTAAATAAATGCATATTAAAATATTTACATGCAAAATCATTACTCAAAATTTGAATTATTTTATTTTATTGCATAGTATGTAAGTTTTTTTGTAATGAAATTGATTATTGATGAAAGTAGTTTAGCCAAGATGCAAACCAAATATAAGTCAAGTTGAAAACCTTAAAATGTCACCAGATAGAGGAGATTGACTTGTTTTAATGTTATAAAGTGAAAAATATTTTAGAGCATAAAATTAAATAATAAATCGCATTATTATCGATTGCTGGTGTCTCTAGGTCTGTATACAATGCCTCTGCTCTTCATCTCCCTTATAATCCCAGCAGGAAGTCTGCCTGATACTGAAATTGCATAAACGCCTTTGCAGAACCGATCTACAAATAAAAAGTTAATAAATACAAACAAAACTAGAAATATTAAGTAATTATACTTATTCTCTGCCACTTGCACACCCAACTGTCTTCAGGACTCATAGCAGATATCATTCTAAACAAATGTAGGATGATACAGTAAACTCATGAACATATGTAATTCAGTAAATTATTTTATATTTACCCATCAAAGTTAGAACTCGTGCAATCATAAACATTATCCCTGTTGTTCTTCATCCTGAGAAAATCATCACAGTTATCACAACCCTCATACTCAAATTGATCAAAAGTCTGAAAATGTTTTAGATGTTAGTTTCTCTGTAAATGTAATTAAAACTTAAAACATTAATCTTACCTTAATCAAGGAACACACTAAACAAGCCCGCAACCCACGAAGATCTTTAGGAATAGTTTCTAGAGTCATTTTATTACCGATTTGTCTGATGTTAAGAGATTTGGAGGTTACAGGTAAAGCGTCTGTGTCAAGATTTCCCAATCCACCAAAACGCGTAAGGTGGGTTGCCTAAACTCAATAATATAAAGCTTATATAGTGCGAACAAATAATGTACAAATTTATTTTCACTTTCTTGGTTATAAGTAATGATTAATGTTAAATAATGCTTATAAAGTTAGTTAAAATATTATCCTAATTATGTAATTTTAGGATGACCATTCTGGTTTGTGTTCTGTCCTTGTGCTTCACCATTGGTGCCATTTACACTGGGGGTTTGCAGAAGACGACTTCTCCGTCGTGTATAATGCTGCCAAAGCAGAATTTGCTGATCATCTATGAACTTGGAACACTGGGCGTTTACTAGTTCACGCCGGAAATGTTCATATTGAAGCAGATCCAAGAAGTGTAAACACATTGGATATTTCAAAAACTTGGCATATTGAGGTTCCTTCCAGTATAATAAATATTTTAAGTAGTTTATAAATGTTGAGTCTTTAAAGTATCCACGCTGCGCTAAAACTAAGACAAAAATGTTTAAGTTCAGTGTAATTTTTAGCAAAAATGATGTGAAAAATCATGTAATACACTTACAATTTAAATAATTTGGATTTCCCAAGCATTGCACAAACTCCAGTTCAATTTGGAAGCGCAGGCGTTGTTGGTCATCATTTTCTGGTGCGCCTGAAACATAATTCCACCCTTTGCGGAGGTTAATTTCGTGTTTTCCGGAGGAATTAATAAATTTACCTTTGCCCGCCATAGCCATTGCTGTGACTTTCTGCACGAAGCATTCGCCATGTTTGTTTTGGTCTATTATGTCAAAATTCAGTCATTGTCAAAACATTTATACAGGGTGTGGCAATCTCAGAAATATTTGTTAAAAACTCTACTCATATCTAATAGAAAATAATTATAATACAAAATCATTTAAATTTTTAATTGTTATAAATATTTTATTTGTATTCTCTTGTTTTAAATAGGTTTTAATTTTATTATAATGAATATTATTTACGACTGAAATCTTTGCTCCCCTCAACGTATGTAATTTTGTTTGAAGGACGAATCAATGTCATCCAATTTTATAACAACATTATCATTATAACCAAAACACTTCAAAAATCATGAATTAATTTCATTACTTGTACAAAATTCATTGTTAACATCATAAATGTTGCGTAAACTGGGATGTAGCTGGGTGGCGGCGCATCGACGCATGCTGCGTGGCGATCTATCACCCATTTTGTTGACGTCGAAGCGATGTTTAATGCCTAACTTTGATCTCTGCTGGAAATGCGGTAACAAAAGACGCAACATTTACGATCTATTCTGTGATAAATGCAACGTGATCCAACGCCCACATGAAAAAGACAATTTTTTCAAGATATTCAGCTTGCCACCCAAGTTTTCAGTGGATGTTCCTAGTCTTCAGAGACAATATCGAGCAATGCAAACCCAATTGCATCCTGATAAGTTTGCCAACAGGTAATAAACAAGTCAATAACTAAATTTTTATTGTTTATACATTAAATTCTAGACCTGAAGATGAGAAAGCTGTGTCAGCTGAATTTTCTGCATTGGTCAATGATGCCTACAACACTTTAACAAACCCAATGGCAAGGGCACTGCACATGTTAAAACTGCACAGGGAAACAATTTTAGAAAGTGACAAATCTACAGATAGTGAATTTCTGATGAATATTATGGAGTTGAATGAAGCAATTGAAAATTCCAAAACTGAACAAGATTTAAGATTATTAGAGAAAAACAATCAAGCAGTACTGGGTCAGATTGTGAAGGAGTTGGAGCAGAAGTTTGAGCAGAATGATATTCGCGGCGCAAAGAAACTAGTCATTAAAATGAAATATTTTCATACGTTGTCTGTGAAGATTAAAGAAGCAAAGGGCAATAAAGGCATTGTTGATTAACATGAACAAGACAATCATGAACAGTGGATTTTGTACATAAATGTGAATTAATAAAAGAAATACATAAACATGATTTAGCCTAGTGTTTGATTAAGGTTAAATATGAATTATGACATGCACTAAAACTAAAGATAGGTTAAGAATGAGTTATTTACATATTTTATTTGTTTATTTCTTTTGCACATAATCACTTTATATTTCCACTTTTACAATAGTATGATTCTCATAGGTATTCTTGATGTCTTATTGCCACACAGAGAATTTTCACTTTTCGAAGATGAATTTAAATCGACAGCATATTAGTTTGATAAACTATGAACTAATTTATTAACTGAGCATATTTTATTCATGATATATTTATACAAAGTGCGCCAAATCAGAAATTATGGCAAGGTATAAACAAGTGAATCAAAAAAGCAATAATTTTGAGATTGCTTACGCTATCAACATGTTTGCAAGTAGAGTAAATGCGCTGTAAACAAAATAGTACAATGAATAGGCGAGTGGGAGGAACGATGGTGATTAAAATGGATCTCTCGTTGTGATCACAGTCAGTTTTACAAAGCCTTTAAACTTTGCACAGCTTAACAAACTCTACACCAAATTCAAATATTGTTATCTTCTATCTTTATAAAACAAAAGAAAAAAGTCCTAATTTATGAGTTATTAGCAATTAATGAATAGATGAAGTCATCGGTTGCTATAAAACAAATGCATCCGAACGTGAACACATTTAGTTTATTTTGAAAGTATTTTAATGATCAACGTTGTAAGAAGAACACCAACAAAGCGTAAGTTTATTATTAAGTTCTAATTAACTATCAATCAAATTTTACGTATATTATTATTACAAATTCAAATCATATACATAATTAACATAGTTTCATTGATGTAAAATTAGCAGATGAATGTAATGTATAACATTGGCATTGATCTTATAATCTTTCGTCTTATTATTATCTTTAGCCTTTTTCAAGGGCATACAACAAACTAAACGAAGATAATAGTATCACGAACAATGAAATTGTAGTGAAAAGAAAAATTAGTAGTTAATAATGCAGTCCATTAGTATTATCGCTCTGATTTATAATGAATGAAGTAACAAGGTTGTTTGATAAAGCGCAAAACTTTCTCATATCAATTTCGAGTTAATTATCTATTCCATTTTTGTTCTCAGTATACATTAATAGTTTGTTTTTGTTTCGAGAGTGCATATGTACTTAATATTTTAAGTTTTTTTTTATTATTTATGAGAAATTCAGAAAGTTCAAAGTATACTTCAAGGAATAACAATTTGAATTTGATTTGATTGAATGACTCCCCTGAAACTAGTATTAAATTCGATTATACACTGTGTTGCAACATAGCAAATTTACTTTAATATTTATTGGAACTTTAATTAAAAGGTATTTATAAATTTTAAATTAACAGTATAAATTAAAAATGCGTGTGTGTATTGCACAAAAAAGTAAAACTTGCATGTGATTACATTCAAAACTTACTTTTGCTTTGCGCTGCACTTGGTATTTTTATACTTGGGATTTTAACTTGTTGAATTTACGTTGGTATGGCTTAAAAACGTCAATTATACAACGTGTAACAAGATATATTTAAATAGAGTTTATTGAAATGCAATATATTTATTAAATTTAGTAGTTAACAATAGAATTTCCAAACAAAAACACTTTAATAATTGTTCATGCATATTTAAAAGTCAATTAAAAATGTATTTTGTGCAATTAAAACCAAATTAACTCTTAGTAAGTACATACTGTACTTAGCTTAAATTCCCCTGTTTCTAGTAACTTTCTATTGTACCAATATTGTCCTTGAGAAGACTAAATGCACTAAACTCATCTGTTCAGGACTAGATTTTCGCCGATAAGCGGCTGGTGCGGTCGCGGCATCAAAACAATTTTTATGTACACAAAATATTTGCACTTTAAAACTGACAACACGCGATTATCAACATTATCAGTTCTCAGATGATTCGTCGAGGTGTTTCAGTAGTGCTCTCAAAATGAAACTCTCTAAACACACAAAGTCTAAAAGTCACACGTAACCTAAAACGAATCAATTTTGTTTTTTAAAACTTACTTAGTGATAATTACTTAGAGAAAAAATTGTGCATGCTTAATTAATTAAGTTAAGCCTTGCTTTCCGGTTGTGCTATTGGTGGTGCTATTCTTCGGGGTGCTTCTGATTGGTCGGCGCAATGTCTTCGTTCCAATCACAATCATTCATGATGCTGGGGGCGGTAGTGGTGGGCGTTGTGAGCGCTGCCGGCATGATTATTGCTGAACACTATCGGCAGGAACGGCGAAGGCACGCCATGGCGCAGGATCTCGATCGTCTTAATCAACAGATAACAGGCCTGCAGGGTCAGCTTGAAGTGCTTAAAAAACAGCAACATTCTGGCCAAACCAGGTAATAACTGACCATATGCCAATGAAAACAAAAATCTATTTGATAATAAATAATGCTTTTAGTGTTGATGGTAGAATCAAGAGGAGATTTCGTTCAAGAGAGAGGACAATGAGCAACATCACATCAACCACTGCAGATGACTATAACTCAGCTTTAGATAGCTCCGATATGGAGTTTTATGATATTAGTGATGAAGAAACTTCAAAAGCATCAACACTTACACCCTTAGATGATGTAAGTTCTAAATATTTGCTGGTATAAATTTTGTATGTAAAATAAGTTGCCTACATCAGAAATTCAGTACGTTTAACATACCAAGTGTTTTAAGACTTGTCTTAATTTTTATAGGTCCTAAAAGACATTGATATTAAATTAGAAGATCCTCTACAGCTCCGCAATGCTTTATCGCAGCTAGAAAACTTACTCTTTGACTATCCAAGCAGTACGGAAGTTCTTTGGAGGATCGGCAAGGCTCATCAACGGATCGCCATGGAAGTAACGGATATTTCGTATAAAATGGTCCATCTCAATGCGGGTAAAATCAATTTTAAAACAATTTACCGAGTATTTTAACTAAAATATCTTAAATTTAAATTTCTAGGCTTAGATGTATGTCGCCAAGGCATCGAAATCAATCCCAAATCCGGCGACGTGCACAAATGGTACGCCATCTTGTTGGGTTCACGTTCGTCGCATCAAGGTATCCGCGACAAGCTGCGCGATTCTTCCGAGTTCAAGCACCACATTGACTTGGCCATCCAGTTGATCCCTGAAGACGCCACCTGCTATTACCTGCTGGGCAGATATGTAATGGAGATTGCTTCGTTGAAATGGTACGAACGCAAAGCGGTCGCCACGCTGTTCGATAAATTACCTGAGTGTACATACCAGCAGGCACTTGAAAATTTACTGCAGGCCGACCGAATGGGAGACAAAGACTGGAAAATCAACAAGCTATCGATTGCAAAGTGTTATTTTGCGTTGGGCGATTATAAGGAGGGACTGAAATGGCTGGACGAAGCAAACAACATTACAAAGGCTGTGCTTGAGGAGGAAGGCATCGAACAAGAGATCGCACAATTGCTGAGCAAATACAACGGATATAGATAGATTTAATTTTAATGAAAGATATTTGATATTTTAGCGCAACCAAAAGTTATATGAATTTTAAACGGTTATTTTAATGTTTGTCAGTGCATTCCTTAAGGATATGATGTTCATTATGAGTATGCATTTGTGTCTGTATTGGTATCTAGTGACAAGGGTGGTGAATATTACAATGTTGGTTTTGTAAATTGTTCAGGGGAATGAAGAGGAAAGTATGGTGTTACTTTTTGTTATGATCTATTTTTAGTATATCTATTAGCAGTACTCACTTTTATCCTGTCTCTTCAACTAGAAGTATGTGTAATGATGGAAGGTATGAGATGATTATTAAAGATATTTTATATCATTAATGAATTAAAGGTTATCGCAGATGTATGATTGCTAATTTTAGTACACTCTATGAAAAGACTATCGGAGGAGCACTCTGTATTTTGGGACGGAAAGTGTTGGGTTTTTTTAAGCTTCTCAGCCTTCTAAAGGATTATAATGTCCAGAAATGGTTTTAATAACTTGATTATTGTTGTGAATTTCCAACGGAACATGCACTTTTCTTCAGAGTTGGTTAATTTTTTTTTTTAAATTTAATTTAACTGTAAGGAAACACGACTTACCCCCACTATATTTTACGGGTTGCCGCAGGCATAAAAGCTATTTGGTATTTTTTTGTTTTGGGTCGCCCGCATTGGATATAAAAAAATGATATTATTGCCTTTTGTGAAGGGGATGCGAAAGGAATCGTGGTACTGATTGCGATTGGCATATTTGTAAAGAAGATAAAGACTTCCACTACAGTCAACAGTTTCCAGATAATTGTAAACCATCAGTTTATTACGAACCACATCATCATGGCTGTCGATGTTCAAAGTGCACTCCTTCTGCGTGTGGGCAAGGCATTTATGCCACTTTGAAGCCAAAGAAAGAATCCAAAGCGCTGCCTGCCTTCGATAATGAAAAAGACGACCTTCATAAATTTGTTTTGCAGATTGGTGAGCGATGTTATTGCCTTCTACATCACCCTGCAAATTGCGACTGTGCTGATTGTATTGCGGGTAGAAAGGAGGTGCGTGAAGAGGATCATTGCAAAGAGATGGAAAAACGGCGCAAGCAATTGTTGGAAATAGTGGAACGTATGGGGAGCAAGCGAGGAAAAGATTGTGATTGTTTACAATGCGAAGTCATGAACATTTTGAGTCATGTCGATATAGCCGTGATCGAGGAACGGAGTGTCGGTGTTCCTGGCATGCGGAGTGCATAAGGAGGAAGAGGATTGCTACTCTACCGAAAGCTGAAGATTATTGGTAGGCCATTAAGAATGTCATATATTAAAGAACTTAAATGAAAATAAATATGCATGGCGTTAATTTACGTTACGTTATAACAAATATCTTTTGTTCATATCAATATAAGCATATCTGTCTTTAATAAAAAGGCAATGCCGAATCGGTTTATGCATGTATTAATTATTCAAAGGTTACATAAGCGATTCTCTTAAAAATATAGTTAAATATCTATATTAATACTATATGCAGTAGGCAACGGCCATACCACGTTGAATATACCGGTTCTCGTCCGATCACCGAAGTCAAGCAACGTCGGGCGCGGGTAGTACTTGGATGGGAGACCGCTTGGGAACTCCGCGTGCAGTTGCCTTTTTGTTATTGAACAATATTAGAATTGGCGTATAAAAAACAACAAACGCCAAACCTGTTTGCTGAAAAAAATCAGAATTAAATTTATTGTTAAATACACAACATCGACATTCAATCAGGTTCATTATATGAACTTTTTCCGATTTGTAGCTATGCGTTTCCAGATTTATCTTATTGGAGAAGGCAACCGTGATTGTTATCAATAGGTTTGAGGTAGTCTTCCGGCCTTAATAGCCCAATCCTTGATTGATATCCTCAGTACCTCCTGGTGTCTCAATGTTTTACTTATAGCACGCAACATTTGAAAATATTACTTGTTCAATAAGGATGTTGACTGTATTCAAATAAAAACATAATTTGTACACTAAATGATTGTTTTACTGAATTACTGAAAATCACAATATTTTGCCTTATTTTTTGGTGCGAACTTTGAAAAGGAAGTTCCGATTAATATTAAAAGTTACCAAGTTTAACTATATGAATATGGTTTAGTTAAGAAACTTTGTAAACCTTTTTAAATATGTCATAGTGAAATTTAAGTTAGCTTGTGTTTTATTGATATTTGAAAAACTTTTTACAAGTTAAAACCTACTCAAACAACAAGCAACAATTAAACACAGTCGATATTAAATAGTAAAAATTTTGTTAAGACTTAGTTCTTTATTGACGAGATTCAAACTTGTTTTTCAAAGTTCAAACTTATTTTGGAATTTTGAAAAGTCTTTCAAAGGTCTTTTATAACCTGTAACCTGCGGAAATATAAGGCTTAAGAAACAAAACAAAAAAAGTTGTATAATAATACTTCTAAGTATTTAAGAATTGCAATGACAAGAAATTAATTATGTCCATTGTTTCATTCGTGTGTACTCGTATATGATACTGTGCTGTGAAGTACCAGTACTTCCCCGAGTCCCGGTGATGTTTACACTTTGCAGAATCGCATTCCGTTTACTGATTTACATTAATAAACTTTATCGCATTTGAGAGTAATCGTATAAAAAAGTATAAATACTGCTCGAGTTCAATTCGTAGTCATCAGTTAACACTTGTTGATTAGTTAACTATCAAGCATTGTGCTAAGATTTGTTTTTAACAAACATAACACTTACTCAAAACTTAAAAATGAAATTGTGCGTGGTTTTTTTTGTTGTTGCCATGGTAGCCTGCAGCATTGCCTCACCATTGGAAGAGGATCATGATGGTAGGTAAATATAATTAACTTTAACAAATTTTTAATTGATGTTAATAATAGAGAATTAGTCTAGTTTGAATTAGAAATATAAATTAAGAGTAAATTCTTTTGAAATCGTTAAAATGTCAATTTTAAATTATTGGAAATTATTATATAGGATATTTGATCTTTATTCAATACTAAATTTTGCGAACAAATTAGGTACGCCTAATTAATTGCTTTTTTGCTCTTTGGATCTATTATGTGACAATTTATACAACTCTAATTATGATTTAATCATTATATATTAAAGGTTATCTCCTATTTTATACCATTTTATTTATATATTTTACTACAAAAAGGAGCTTATTTGCTTTTCCTTATTTAATAATATCTTTATATCAAAATTTATCAAAATTGATTAAATCGTTGATGCGTGAAAGCGTCACAAACAAACAAATAAACACAAATTTGCATTTATAATAGTAAAACGAACCATAATATACCATAAGTCATATACAGTATATGCAATGTATTATAATAATATCACTATTCTATTAATTGCGTTAAAATAACTTTTTGTTTAATTTTTTTGTAGGAAACCTGGTATTATCAAGAGTTCGTAGAGTAACCTGCGATTTATTGAGCGTTGACACTCCCTTCGGTTCATTGAATCATGCTGCCTGCGCCGGCCATTGCCTGAAGAAGGGCTACAAAGGTGAAGATGCATCGATGGCGTCTGTAACTGCCGTCGTTGAGCATGCAACTTCAAATGTCTTTATTTGGCACCTACCAGTGACGACTTCTGATTCTACTCTGGACATTCCAATAACTTAACCACAGCTTTAATATTTTATACCTACCTTTTTCTACATCATGTTTTTATTTGTTTTATAAAATATAAATAAATATCTATAAGTAACTTATATATCTATATATATAAAATTTGCGTGTCACAGTGTTTGTTTCCATACTCCTCCGAAACGGCTTTACCGATTTTTACCAAATTTTATATGCGTATTCAGTAGGTCTGAGAATCGGCTAACATCTATTTTTCATACCCTCAAGAGATAAGGGTTGTTCAATTCTTTAACTTTTTTAAAATTTTGACAAATTTCGTTTTTTATTTTTTATAATGTGGAATTAAAATACATACAACCCTAAATTTTTTTAGTTTTTTATCACCAAACCCCATTTCTTTTTATAGCCACTTTAGTAATTTAATCATTTTTCATCCCGCTCAAAGAAAATTTATGCGTATTCAGTAGGTCTGAGAATCGGTAACTTCATATCTTAAGTGATGGCAATACCACCTTAATTTTTAAATTTTAGTCGAAATTTTTGTTTTTATTTTTTAATGTGGCATTAAAATATACATACAACCCTTAAATTTTTAGTTTTCTACTACCACCTTATTTTTATAATAAGTAAGTTACTTTTTGTCTACACCAAAATTTATCTAGAAACTTGAAATAATTGAACTAAATAAATTATTATTTTAAACTTACCTTGATTTTCGTCTTCTACCGGTGTAGGAGATGCAAAACTACACGCGAGCACACCGAAGATCATCACTAAATGTAACAGCTTCATTGTTTGTTGTATATTGAAAGTTAGTTCGAATAGAATTGATGACATTGTTTTAAATTTTGCTTCTATATATATTTTGTTCAAAATAATGTAAACCTGTTACAAATGTAGATGTTTTTTTAAATTTACGTATTTGTATTGATTATTTGTAACTACGTCAGTGCCACCAGTCATGGTGTTAGTTGCGGATTAGATAACAATGTAAATTGACAAGTAGTCGTGTTATTCTTTGAACTGTCGAAATAAATTTGCACCGGGGAAGTACATGTGAAGATATAATGCACAATGTTACAATGTTATAAGTTTGTCTAAAAATATATTGAGTAAAATTAAAAGAAAAACACAAAAGAACACAGAGAAAAACACTAAACCATCTGAATACGTATTACTGAAAATATAACTGAAGAAACTTCTTATCTTGGTGAGTATGCAAAATATACAATTGCTTTATGCCCGTGGTTCAAAACTTGCACTTATTTCTATTATTTTAATCTCATTACTCAATTCTTCAAATTTACTGCTGATCATTAAGTTCTTGTTTATAAACTGATAAAAGTTTAGAATTTATGGGACTCTTTTCTAATATGATTGTTATCCTAACCTGCGTCGGTTTTGAATTACTGCCAAATGTGCAGGCCGATACATCAAATACGCTCACAATTTCTGACACTGCCGAAATTAAAACGTTAGATTGGGATGAATCGTTGTCAATCGAAATTCATACGCGATGGATTAATTTTATTGAGAATCTATCCAACTTGGGTCAAATTAAAATAAATCGGCGTATCATGTGTGTTAAAACTTTAACATTAAAAAATAATCATTTCTCTCTTGAATAAAAATAAGCCATCTAACAAACAAATACTATAAGCATGAAATCCGAGAAGAATCACCCTCCGCCAACTTCTGACGCGATCAGGCCACTAGATGACTCACAAAGTCAGCGTTAGGGGCGGTGCCACGAGCTCCCCTCGCCACAATGAACTACTGAGGTGCCAGCCAACATCACGAGCTCCCCTCGCAACTACTGGGGTACCAGCAAACATTTAACGTACTCATTCATTCTGTTTTGTGCCAGCATCATAGGAACACTACATCGGTACAGTATTTTTAATCCACCCAAAATTACTGCTAGAAGGTACGAGTAACACTACATCGGTACTGTATTTCAGTTCACCCAAAACTACTGCTACAAGGTATGAGTAAACACATTTCATTACGAACTCCACTTGATACTAACAGCCATCATGCGACTCATACCTAATCTCAATCGACCAAGGCTATGCTCCTTTAACGCTGTGTACGTTTCTTTTTCTTTTTGCGAGTGTTTAACCATCCGGATTGGTTTTCGTTTAGACCCTCATTCTGAACCGCCCCCGGGGTTAGGTCTCCACTATTTGGATAGTTCAGCCCCTGGTGCTGAGCTACTCTCTGGGGTTCAAACACTCCGTACAGGGTACACAGTGTTACTTTGAATCGTCTTCGGCTTAACTGTCCGGTATGGTTTTCCTTCAGACCCTCGTTCTGAACCGCCCCCGGGTTAAGCTGAACTACCCCTGGGTTCCTGTCAACAACCTACCATTTCCACACTGTTACTTTGAACCTCTTTAGTCTTAACCACCGGATCGGTTACGTTCAGCCCATCGTGCTGAAACGCCCCTGATGTTAACTACTTACGATCAATGAGCAAATTAACAGATACCGACACTTTTCCATATACAAAGCATACAACCAGTAATCTACGATGTTTACTACGCTCCTAAGGTAGACACATTTTGAACGATCAGACGAGTAAAAACGTACGAGTTACCGAGCGAATGATCTGACGATAATGCAAGCAGTTGTACCTACTAACTTCCAGGAAGCCATTCGTAAGAAGGAGACGAGACACACCTACACATCCACATCAGCAGCCTCATTTACCATTACACCGGGATCAGATTACACAGACACCACAATCTTGAGTCAATTACATTTTGTTTATAACTACATACTTGCACTGTTAACTAAATTCATAACAAGTTTCTAACCACATTTTATGTATTAAATAAAAAGTGAATTGGGCCACAGCTAGTAAAAGTATTTCCACCTTAGCCGCCTCGCGGCCATTTCAAACAGCAGCTTGTCTGGAAACCTGAGTACCATATGTTATCTATATATATATAAAAGAAAGTCGTGTTACAACTCCTTATAACTAAAGAACGGCTAATCTAATTTGAAGCAAAAATTGGTGGGAGAGGTGCAGCTTAGGGCCAGGAGAAGGTAATAGGATACTCTTTTGAAGTGTAAACTTTTCTAAAGGCACTAAAACGACACTAAAAGAGACAAACATATTTGCGTATATGGATTATCTCTTGGTGGGAGAATACATGTTCCAAATACAAAAGTTTCTATTATCCCGCCTCTTTTAAAAGTGTTAGATAAAGTTCCCGTGTTGGCGACGCGTGTATATGTGTGTAATGTGTGGGTTGGAAATCTGGGACTGGTTGATGTTTCTTTTGTTTGGAGAAGGTTGGTTTAGATACTTTTAGCCAAAACCCCGTAGAGGAATACTCAAACGACACTAAAGGAAACAAACATATTCGTTTATATATGGTTTAGCTTACGTAAGCGAAAAGAGCACAATAAATATAATGATTTCTATTATCTCCGTCCGCCCTTGTGCAACCAGCTTCCCCAAGCATAGACGTGCGATTCGTAGCGTCCCTCTAAGCATAGACGTGCGTGAAACGTTAAGATTTTTAAAGGAAACCGCAAACCCAAATCAGCGTAAATGGAAACAAAACATATTCCGCTTATATGGTTTAGCCTACGGGAAAAAAGAGCACACCAAATAATAAGCTTTATCTCCGTCTCCCCTTGTGCAATCTGTAGCCTGCATAGACGTGCGGGTTTGTACCTACCCAACATGCAGCGACCGTAAAATCGATCAAATCTTATCCGACAAAACCGTAATGCAAACTAGGGATCTGGGGTTGACTTGCGAAATGAAAAGGACTCGGAAGAAGAACAAGAAATTGCAATGAAAAGCGCCAGCAGTATTACTCCGACGCTTCTCAACTACAAGAGCAAAAGCGATATGGAACAAAGTTTGCTGGCCAGCTAGTAATTCTAAATAAACCCTAGTAACTGACACTTCAAAATTTCAAAGCCGTGACCCTGTCTATAACAATCACGGCACGAACGTAGTCCTGTATATGACACTCTGAAACTTCAAATCCGACGGACGTGCGGCTGGGTAAACTCTGCTCTGGGTGGTACATGTAAGTCTTCGTCCAATGCAATTCATAAAGTCTAGGAATTGCCCGCCGCGCTCTGCTCGAGCTCGTCCTGCACAGTTTATCATTAACAAAATGCCAGTGACCAAGACGATTAAATATTTCAAATACAAACCGGCTTTGTGCGATGCTTCGTAGCATAGACGTGTGTATGTGTGTACGTGAGGGTTGAAATTGACCGGTTGATGTTTTTGTTTGGAGAAGGTTACTAGGATACTTTTTGAAGTGAAAACTCCTTTAGAGAACACTAAACGACACTAAAAGGAAACAAACATATTCGCTTATATGGTTTAGCCTACGGAAGAAAAAGAGCACACAAATATAATGTTTTCTATTATCTCCGTCTGCCCTTTGTGCAATTCGTAGCTTCCCCCTAAGCATAGACGTGCGATTCGTAGCGTCCCCCTAAGCATAGACGTGCGTGAAACGTTACATTTTTAAAGGAAACCGCAACCCAAATCAGTGTAAAAGGAAACAAACATATTCGCTTATATGGTTTAGCCTACGGGAAAAAAAGAGCACACAAATATAATGTTTTTTTATCTCCGTCTCCCCTTTGTGCAATTCGTAGCTTCCCCCTTTGCATAGACGTGCGTGGGTTTGTACTCACTCAACATGCAGCGACCAAAACGATCAAATCTTATCCGACAAAACCGTAATGCAACTAGGATTCGAAGGATTGCGAATGAAAGGACTGAAGAAGAACAAGAAATTGCACGTGAAAAGCGCCGTGTTAGTATTACTCGACGTGCTTCTCAATCACAAGAGCAAAGCGAGGCGGAACAAAGTTTGCCGGGTCAGCTAGTAATTTAAATAAATCCCTAGTAACTGACACTTCAAAATAAAGCCGACCCTGTCTATAACAATCACGGCACGAACGTCCTGTATATGACACTTGAAACTTCAAATCCGACGGACGCGGTCGCGCCATTTTTTCTGTTTATGTCAGCGACTTGCGTCTCTGTTCTGTACGTGTGTGTGTCTACGCATTATAAAGTTCAGGGAAATGCCCGGTTGGTGTGTTTGTTTCGAGTTTCTGATTATCGTGCCAATATTATCATTAACAAAATGCCGCGACCAAGACGATTAAATATTTCAACACAAAACCGGTTATATCGCAGACGTAGTGGTGATTATTGAGGAATTCTGTGTAAAAATTATGTTTGAGTGATGAATTATGCGAAAGGCAGGACACCCTCAGCCCATTTAATTTTTCAATATAAGGAATTATGTTAAAACTTGGTGCTAAGAAGTTCATTCGGCGCCATCTCTTCGATTAGTGGAGCAAATGGTATTTGATACGCCCTCTATAGTACAGTAAGTGTATACTTTACTTAGCTTGATTCTCTACAGTTGCGTAATTCAATAATTGCTTTCATCTTTGTTCGGCGTTTGTTACCACAAGTTGCCTTGTGCGCTCTTGTGTCTCACAAAGTACAGATTGATTTGATTACGTGGACTCGTAGGCAATGATTTTTGTAAGGCGGCGGAGTAGTGGGCAAGGTTTGAAAGGCGAGAAATCTACAAAGTAGGTTCTTAGGCTCACTAATTCGTCCGAGTGACTACTAAGCAGTTTTTTTTATTTCAAATGTTTTGGGATATCAATACAAACCCTTGTCAATTTCTTACAATTTTATACATAGCAAATTTGATAATTTTAGAGAATATAAACGGATATTGCTTTTTATGGAGGAAGTAATCAATGTTTTAAATATAAGACCTTAATTTAAGCAAAAATGGCGATATTATTATTTTTTCATCATGCAATGAATTCAATACATAATGTATCGTCTTTTTGATATTTTGAAGTGTCTGTTGAATTTCTAAATAATATATAGCCACATTAACATTTAGTTTGATAACAAAACATTCTTTTCTAAAAACTAGTGATAAAGTATTTAGCTAATAACATACGTTTAGTTTAAAGCGGGAGTAAAATTCAGCAATTTTTGTTATCATTTATCAATAGATTTATCGGTTTCCTGAGAGTTATTAGATGATTATTACAATCCATACTATGCGCAGTCTGGAGACGCTGACGTTATTTTCTCCTGCATTGACATCATCATTGTATACTTACAATCTCCAATTTTATTCCAATTTGTAGTAGTTCCATTTTTAACCTGAAATATAAAGATGAATATAGCACACATTATGATTTATAATAAACTTACTTCTTCCAAGACATAATTAAAGATATCCAATATATGATTATCCTTCCACTGTGAATTATTGATGAAAATATTTACAAATAATAATAAGCATTCTTCAATGATTTTATTCTCCGTAAAGTTCCCAATTTCATTTTTCACCAAATCAAGACATCCCTTAACTTTATCTGTATCATATTCATTTATAGTTTTGAAATAATGGTTCACCAAGTTACTAAAATAACCAAATAAGTTATAAAAGTATATGCATAATGTGTTGTTACTAACATTATCCAATAACTGAAATGCGTATCTTTTGGGTAGAGAAAGAACAAAATTAATGCTTGGTGTACGAAATGGGGCGTCAAACTGAACAAATCACATTTCCTAATTTATAATTATCTATTGAATTTCTTATAACGTAGTTTATAATATCTAATCAATACTCATCATATAATATCGCAACTTATCCTCAAATCTCGTTTCAATATCCAATTGCTCCAATTTGGACTTTATTGTCCCATCGATATTTTGAAGTGTCTGTAAAATTTGAAAATATTATATAGTCATAAATATTTAGTTTGAGTACAAAACTTACTATTTGAGGACTAGTGATATAGTACTCTGCATATACTTTTGCGCAAAGAGATATTGCGTAGTCGTCATTACTATAGGCTGAAATTAAATTCAGCAACGATTTACGAATCAATGATTGATCAATGTCTGGATGTTTGTTATTATCAATCAGTAGGTTTAGCAGTTTGCTATAAACAAAATTTCAATATGAGGTTTTTAGATGATTGCTACAATACGTACAATGCATAATATTGTATATCGGCATCGCTTTTGTCATTTTCCATTGCAAGCACAATATGCTCTGACATAAGTTCATACTTGAAATCTGCGATGTTACCAAAATTTGCAGAATCAAATTGATTATTCAACTTCTCCAAACTAAACAATTTATTGCAATTTTTAGCCTAAAATATAAACAAGAATATTGCACACGTTATGATTTAATGTAAACTTACTTCTTTCAAAAAAAAATTTAAAGTAGCCGAAATATCATTTTTCTCCCATTGTGAATTATTGATGAAAATATTTACAAATAATAATAAGCATTGTTCAATTATTTGTTCCTCCGTAAAGTTCTCAATTCCATTTTTCACCAAATTAAGGCATCCCTCAACTTTATCTGTACCATATTCATTTATAGTTTTGAAATAATGGTTCACCAAGTTACTAAAATAACCAAATAAGTTATACAAGAATATGCATAATGTGTTGTTACTTACATTATCCAATAATTGAAAATCTTATCTTTGGAGTTCATATTCATTACTTGTAAAACCTTGTTCAATACAACTTCAGCAATTTTATCATTGCTTGTTTTCATCAATGTCTTAACAACATGTTTGAAAAGTTCACTTTGCACATTATCTTTGCCACTATATTCTATGAAAACCTGGAATCAATATATCAATATTATTAACTACACATAACCTAATTACATATACTTACCAAATATAATATGTATTTAAGTAGGGTTTCATTATTATTGCTTATAACCAAGTTTAATGGTGTAATTAATTGCAAATCGTATGTGACTAATAAATGCGGAAACACATCATATATGCGTTGAACCATGTCAGGATTGTTGCTTTCAACAGCAAAATGCAAACAGTTACGGCCATTTTGAGCATTAAATAGTATTTTATTACTTTCAGTAATATTATTTACTTTAAACCCAGTTGCGCCCTTATTTAATAGTAGTTGGATGATATTATCACGTTTATGTTGGATTGCCAGTGACAGTGGAGTATCTTTGTGAATGTTGAGACAATTTAAATTAGACCCAATCTTAATCAGATATTGCACTACTTTTTCTGCTCCATGTATACATGCAATATGCAGATATGTATTCAAATTGTTGTCTAATTGGAAATCAGGTACATTGTAGTAAAATAATTTGATTATTTGATTCAAGGCTTTTTCATCATTCAGGCATATTACATAATAAGCAATTATCTTCCAAACATTTTGTTGCTGTGGCTCTATGGTATCTGTTCTAATGCACAATTCATTCACGAATTTGTTAAGGTTGGCCATAATAATTTTCTCCAAAATGTACTTTGTGATATTAGTATTACCAGCCATATTGGCAATTTGAAAAATTGAATTGCCATATTTATTGATATCGTTTATAAAGTTTGGATTTTTCTTCAAAATAAAATCAAACAGATATACATTGTCCTTTTTGTTTTGTGCAGTCATTTCAAGTACATTGTGTCCGTTCTTGTCTCGCCAGTCTACCCATTTATTTTGAATATAATATAACAATTTTTTAACTAGTTCTAAATCACCATCGATAATACGTTCAAAAAGATTTTCCATTGCCTTGATTTTGTTTAGTTGAATTTTATCTATTTCTTTCAGCTGATCCCCTTTCAGCACTTTTGTTATTTTCTCTATTACAAGTTCAGATGGGTCACTGATGTCAATTTCACCAGTAAGCAGTTTTGCAGTGTCTCTGACTGCCATTTCTTCATTCAAACCCAATAAATCAACAATGGGATCTCCATGAGCCAGATGATTTCTTAGTTTTCGACCAGTTAAAGTGGGATACATCTCTTGAAACCATTCGAAATTATTGTTTAGTCTCTTTTGTTCCCATAAGTTTTCTAATATAATCATAAGCTTTAATTCCATTTCCATATAGCAATCGGTAGGTGTTTGGGATTCACGCAGAGACTTTAACAAATCTTTGTATTCAGTCATACTTGAATCAGGAATGTCGTCTTTTAATTTTTTAATATCTACTTCTTCTTCGCATAGTTCTGGAGGTCTCTGGCTCAAAATTTCATCAATGAGATTTTTATGTGTTACTTTATAGAAATTTGGCAAATCTCCAATTTTATTTGAATCTTTTATAAATTGTTTGATGCCCTCATATTTCTTGTATATGAAATTTAATTTAATACCGTAGAAAGTGTTTGCTATCTTGTTTATATAATTTTCAATGAATATTTTATCAATCATTTTATCAGGAATACTTGTTAAATGAGATATTGTTTCTCTAAATTCATAAAGTATATCAACGTGTTCAGGAGGTAAAATATACTTTTTAATACATTTTATTAAATCTTCAGAAGCATTCGTTGTTTTATCAGTTTCCTTTAGACATTCACCAATTACTTGTAGTATTCGTAATATGATTAAGACATTCCCTTTCGGGTATGATTCAACATAATGACAAATTCTGTACAACACGTATACATCCCTTATTTCATGATATATCTCTTTAAAGTACTTAATTTTGTCTGTATGTTCTTCACCTAACATAATTTTTGATAGTTTTGTTTGATTCTTTACTTTTTCCAGATACTGTCGAAATACTTCAATAATGTTAGTGAGTATTTCTTGTGATATAAGTCCAATTTGATATAAATGAATCTCATCTCTTGAAGTGAAATACTTAATGTATTGCTGAAGATAAAATATGAACTGACGCCATGGTAATTCAGAAAGTACCCCTTCGAACAAAAATTGCATCGAATTCGTAAAGAATATAACTTGTTTTATGTGATAAAATAATTGTTCATTGTTCGGATTTTCCCATTTCGAAATAATGTCCATTTGTTTCATTAAATACTCCAATTTCCCCCTTTCTTCTTGGGTAAGTTCTTTCTTTTCGGGTAATTTTTTGTTATTTTTTGTTTTGTTTTGTTTTTTGTTTTTTGGCTTGTCATTTGAATAAAAACGATTTTTCAGTATAGTTGTGTTAATGAATTTGGCAACGTCATCTGGGATTTTAAAGTGTTGATCATTTAAGTATTTTGCACCCATTGCAAGTAACTCATCGTTAAAATCTTTGTTTAATGGACCAATAATATTCTTTATTTGGTCTATTCTGTCTTCCGAATTGCATCAATTTGAAATAATGGTTCACCAAGTTACTAAAACAACCAAATAAGTTATAAAAAAATATGCATAATGTGTTGTTACTTACATTATCCAATAATTGAAAATCTTATCTTTGGAGTTCATATTCATTACTTCTAAAACCTTGTTCAATACAACTTCAGCAATTTTATCATTGCTTGTTTTCATCAATGTCTTAACAACATTTTTGAAAAGTTCACTTTGCACATTATCATTGAAAACCTGGAACCAATACATACATATTATTAACTGTCACATAATCTAATTACATATACATACCAAATCTAATATGTATTGAAGTAGGATTTCATTGTTATTAATTATAACCAAGTTTAATGGTGTAATTAATTGCAAATCGTATGTGACTAATAAATGCGGAAACACATCATATATGCGTTGAACCATGTCAGGATTGTTGCTTTCAACAGCAAAATGCAAACAGTTACGGCCATTTTGAGCATTAAATAGTATTTTATTACTTTCAGTAATATTATTTACTTTAAACCCAGTTGCGCCCTTAATTAATAGTAGTTGGATGATATTATCACGTTTATGTTGGATTGCCAGTGATAGTGGAGTATCTTTGTGAATGTTGAGACAATTTAAATTACACCCAATCTTAATCAGATATTGCACAACTTTTTCTGCACCATGTATACATGCAATATGCAGATGTGTATTCAAATTATTGTCCAATTGGAAATCAAGTAAATTGTAGTCAAATAATTCAATTATTTGTTTCAAGGCTTTTTCATCATTCAGGCATATTACATAATGAGCAATGAGTTCCCATGCTTTTTTATGCTTTGGCTCTATGGTATCTGTCCTAATGCGCAATTCATTCACGAATTTGTTAAGGTTGGTCATTGATATACTTGGAAGTTTTTCTTGCTCATATAATGCCATAATTTTCTCCAGAATGTACTTTGTGATATTAGTATTACCAGCCATATTGGCAATTTGAAAAATTGAATTGCCATATTTATTGATATCGTTTATAAAGTTTGGATTTTTCTTCAAAATAAAATCAAACAGATATACATTGTCCTTTTTGTTTTGTGCAGTCATTTCAAGTACATTGTGTCCGTTCTTGTCTCGCCAGTCTACCCATTTATCTTGAATATTATCTAACAGTGTTATAACTTGTTCTAAATCACCATCGATAATACATTCAAAAAGATTTTCCATTGCCTTGATTTTGTTTAGTTGAATTTTATCTATTTCTTTCAGCTGATCCCCTTTCAGCACTTTTGTTATTTTCTCTATTACAAGTTTAGATGGTTCCTTAAGTTCATTTGTGAGCAGTTTTGCAGTGTCTCTGACCGCCATTTCTTCATTCAAACCCAATAACTCTACAATGGGATCTCCATGAGCCAGATGATTTCTTAGTTTTCGACCAGTTAAAGTGGGATACATCTCTTGAAACCATTCTAGGTTATGGTTTAGTCTGTTTTGTTTATTTAAGTTATTTAATATAATCATAAGCATTAATTCCATGTCCATATAGCAATCGGTAACTGTTTGGGATTCACACAGTGACTTTAACAAATCTGTGTATTCAGTCATACTTGAATCAGGAATTACGTTTTTTAATCTATTAATATCTACTTCTTCTTCGCATAGTTCTGGAGGTCTCTGGCTCAAAATTTCATCAATGAGATTTTTATGTGTTACTTTATAGAAATTTGGCAAATCTCCAATTTTATTTGAATCTTTTATAAATTGTTTGATGCCCTCATATTTCTTGTATATGAAATTTAATTTAATACCGATGAAAGTGTTTGCTATCTTGTTTATATAATTTTCAATGAATATTTTATCAATTATTTTATCGGGAATACTTCTTAAATGAGATATTCTGTCTCTAAGTTTCTTAAGCATTTCAACGTGTTCATGTACAATATACTTTTTAATATATTGTATTAAATCTGCAGAAGCATTTGGTGTTTTATCACTTTCCTTTAGACATTCACCAATTACTTGTAATATTCGTAATATCATTAAGTCATTCCCTTTCGGGTATGATTCAACATAATGACAAATTCTGTACAATATGTGTACATCCCTAATTTCGTGATATATCTTTTTAAAGTACTTAATTTTGTTTGTATGTTCTTCATCTAACATAATTTTTGATAGTTTTGTTTGATTCTTTACTATTTCCAGAAACTGTCGAAATAAGTCAATAATGTTAATCAGTTCTTTTTGTGAAATAATTCCAATTTGATATAAATGAATCTCATCTCTTGAAGTGAAATACTTAATGTATTGCTGAAGATAAAATATGAACTGACGCCATGGTAATTCAGAAAGTACCCCTTCGAACAAAAATTGCATCGTATTCGTAAAGAATATAACTTGTTTTATGTGATAAAATAATTGTTCATTGTTCGGATTTTCCCATTTCGAAATAATGTCCATTTGTTTTATTAAATACTCCAATTTCTCCATTTCTTCTTGGGTAAGTTCTTCCTTTTTGGGTAAGTCTGGTTCATTTTCGGGTAAGTTTTTGTTTGGCGGGACAAGTTCGTCCTTTGAATAAAAACGATTTTTCAGTATAGTTGTGTTAATGAATTTGGCAACGTCATCTGGGAGTTTAAAGTGTTGATCATTTAAGTATTTTGCACCCATTGCAAGTAACTCATCGTTAAAATCTTTGTTTAATGGACCAATAATATTCTTTATTTGGTCTATTCTGTCTTCACGAATTGCATCAATTAAAACACAAATTTTTTGCCATTTTTCATCGGTTAGTTCGGGATTGTAGGGCATTAATTGGATTTTGACTGCATATATTGCCTCCATTGCTTTTGAACTCTCATGCTAAAAAGTAAAAAGTTTACCCATTGAATTGCTAATATTTTTTAATGATATTTACTTAAAAATAATGTTGGTAAATTAAGTTATATTAAATCAAAGATATCGATCCATATGTTGGTTTAAAAAAATATATTTTATAATAAATTAGTGTTAAAGCTGTTAATATCTCTATCACTATCTGCTTGTCACAAAAAATATTATTATTAGCGAATTTCCATCTTAACATTTTAATGAATCTAATTTTGTTATGGCTGTAATATTTAATTTTATAGGAAATTAAATTTAAAGAGAAATTTACTATAACTGAGTACCGTCACTTTTCATTTATACATATTGCCTAATTATACAAGACTATTAAGTAAATTTTCACACTTACTCCAGTTAAGAGCAGAAATATGTGATAACTTAGGCACAAATATTATACATTAATCACGCGCACTATGCACTCGTTGTTTTTATAATGACACCATTGGAAATACGTTCTAATGGACGTATTAATACCCCACTGAGGTTTTCATTATCAGAACATCCGGCCACGGCGGGGTCGCGATTTCCGACCATATTTGGTATCAAAATCGGGTGGTAAATGTACAGATATAACTTTTTGATTGGGATTTCCATGTGAGTAATACAAGGATATGGATTATTTTAGCATCAGGATGAAATGGTGAGCAGAGGAGTTTAGCCACGTGATGCTTATCAAAATATGCATTTGTTCCTACTTTCACTCTATTTTACCTTTCAAGTTTTGTCTAGATTTAAATTATAAAGTTGACAGCCAGTGTATGCATTCATCAAGTTTTGTAAGAGTTTGGCGCGCATTAAAGTTTTGCCACTCCCGCAATTGTACGCAATTTTAACCATTCTTGTTGCAAAAGCCTAACCTAAATAATTTCACAAACAAATATTTAAAAAAATGTTTTTTTTAATCTATAATTTTAATTTTTAAGCATTGGCTTAACAAAAAACCATCCTCACTATTCTATCAAATAAAATCAAGACACGGAACTAAGTACAAAAATGTGCTAGTCTAAGCTTTAAAATGTGCAATCTAGCAATGTAAAAATATTATTAAATAATGTATTAAAAGAAAGATTTTATGAAAATATTGCGGAACAGCTAAACACAAATATAGCAAACTCCATGTGAATTCAAAAAGAACCTAGTAACAATGTAGTTACAACAGCACTCATTTTCAGGATTCTAATCTAAAAAAGATTAAAAAAAGACACAAAATAAGTCATTACAAGTCAGTAATTAGTAATTGGATCTACTAAAATTGTAAACATTTAGTGATTATGTTGTTTACTGGAGTACTTGCTGACATATATTGGTACTTTGATTTATTTTCCACAATATTTTATAAGTTTAAATTTTGAATTTTTTTACAACTTAGTTTAATAGATAATTTTAGAAAATTTTACAAATATTGTTTTATATGAAGCAAGTAATCAATATTTTAAATATTGAAACGATTTGGTTTTTCTCTAATGTGCAATTGCTACAATTCGGATTTTATCGCCTCGTCGACATTTTCAAGAGACTGTAAAATTTAAAAATAAAATTAAAGTCACATTAGCATTTAATTCGAGCACAATACGTACATCTTGAGAACTAGTGTAAAAGTACTCTGCAAATATCTTTGCACAAAGAACCATTGCGTAGTCGTCAGGTTTATTAACTTAAATTACGTTCAGCAAAGATTTACGAAGTAATGATTTGTCAATGTGAGGCTGTTTGTTATCATCTATCAGCAGGTTAATGAGTTTGCTGTAAAAAGATCAGATTACTAAAGTGGATTTTTTAATGGTTACTACAATACGTACAATGCTATTGTATTTTGGAAACACTCTCCTTGTTTCTTATTGCATGCACAATATACGAGTATTTTGATATTAATTCATACTTAAAATCTGAGATGTTTTCCAAATTTGCAGAATCAAATTGATTATTCAAGCATTCCAAAATAAACAATCTATTCTTATTTTTACCCTGGAATATAAAAAAGAATATTGCATACGTTATGGTCTAGAATACACTTACTTCTTCCAAAAGATAATTAAAGGTATCCGATATATGATTATTCTCCCATTGTGAATTATTGATGAAAATATTTACAAATAAACATATGCATTGTTCAATTATTTGTTTCTCCGTAAAGTTCCTAATTCCATTTTTGACCAAATTAAGGCATATCTTAACTTTATCTGTACCATATTCATTTATAGTTTTGAAATAATGGTTCACCAAGTTACTAAAATAACCAAATAAGTTATAAAAGTATATGCATAATGTGTTGTTACTAACATTATCCAATAATTCAAAAACTTATCATCCGGGTACATATTTACTACATCTAAAATCTTGTTCATTACAACTTCAGCAATTTTATCATTGCTTGTTTTCATCAATGTCTTAACAACATTTTTGAAAAGTTCACTTTGCACAATATCTTTGCCACTATATTCTTTGAAAACCTGGAATCAATATATCAATATCATTAACTGTCACATAATCTAATTTCATATACATACCAAATCTAATATACATAATATACATTTATGTAGAGATTCATTATTTTTGCTTATAACAAAGTTTAAAGGTGTAATTAATTGCAAATCGTATGTGACTAATAAATGCGGATATTCATCATATATGCGTTGAATCATGACAGAATTGTTGCTTTCAACAGCAAAATGCAAACAGTTACGGCCATCCTCTAAACGACTTGGAGCTATCATGCTTTCATTTAAGTCTTCTACTTTTCCACTTTTTATGATATCCCACAATTGTTCATGTTCGTCATAATTTGGGGCGTTAAATAGTATTTTAATACTTTCAGTAATATTATTTACATTAAACACAATTGCGCCCTTATTTAATAGTAGTCGGATGATATTATCACGTTTATGATGGATTGCCAACGAGAGTGGAGTATCTTTGTGAATGTTGCGACAATTTAAGTTATACCCAATTTTAATCAAATATTGCACAACTTTTTCTGCTCCATGTATACATGCGATATGCAGATATGTATTCAAATTGTTGTCTAATGGACAATCAAGTAAACTGTAGTAAAATAATTTAGTCACTGATTTCATGGTGTCTTCATTATTCAGGCATATTACATACTGAGCAATAGCATTCCATGCATTTTGTTGTTTTGGTTTAATTGTACGGGTCGTTTTAATCAATTCGGTCAAGAGCTTGTTAACATCGGTGATTGACTCCGATATTCTTGGAAGTTTTTCTTGCTCATATAATGCCATAATATTTTTCTCCAGAATGTACTTTGTGATATTAGTATTGCCAGCCATACTGGCAATTTGTAAAATTGAATTGCCATATTTATTGATATCATTCATAAAGTTTGAATTTTGATTTAAAACAAATTCAAATAGTTTTACATTGTCTTTTTTGTTTTGTGCAGTTATTTCAAGTACGTTGTGTTCGTTCTTGTCACACCAGTCTACCCATTTATCTTGAATATTATCTAACAGTGTTTTAACTCGTTCTAAATTACCTTCGATAATATATTCGAAAAGATTTTCCATTTGCTCAATTTTGTTGCGTTGATTTATATTAATTTCTTCCATCTGATCCAATTTCAACGCTTTTGTTATCTTCTGTATTACAAACTTAGAAGAGTTGGCAATTTCAGCAGTTAGCAGTTTTGCAGTGTCTCTGACTGCCACTTCTTCATCGATACGCAATAACTCAACAATGGGATCTCCATGAGCCAGATGATTTCTAAGTTGTTGACCAGTCAAAGTGGGATACATCTCTTTAAACCATTCTAGATTATTGTTTAGTCTCTTTTGTTTCTTATTTAAGTTATTTAATATAATCATAAGTATCAATTCCATTTCCATATAACCATTAGTCTTATTTTGCAATTTACGGAGTTGCATTAAATCATCTTTGTATTCTGGTATATTTTCTCCCTCACTGGTGATAACTGATTGCAATAAATGAATATTAATATTGTGCTGAATTTTGCTTCTCTTTTGTTTAGAAGGTTCCCGACTCAAAATATCATCAATTAGATTTTTATGTGTTACTTTATAAAAGTTAGGCAAATCTCCAATTTCAGTTGGTCCTTTTATAAATTTTTTGATGCGACCATTGCATTCCTTGTATATATAATTTATTTTAATCTGAATAAAACATTTTGAAATATCATTCAAAGTCTTGTCAAATATTGTTTGTATCCTCTCAGTACAATTGGGTATACTTGTTAAATGAGATATATTATCACTAAGCCTGATGATACCTGCAATTTCTTCTTCAAAAAAATATTCTTTAATATGCTCTAGCAAGCAATCTGAAACATTCGGTGTTTTATCGGAATTCTTCAGACATTTGCCAATTACTTGTACTATTCGTAATATGGTTAGGCCATTCTTTTTCTCGTTTGATTCAACATAATGACAAATTCTGTACAACACGTATACATCCCTTATTTCATGATATATCTTTTTAAATTCCTCTATTATAGTCTTATCTTCACTTGTTAACTTAATTTTTGATGAATCTTTTTTATTCTTTACGCATAATAGCATTGTTCGAAACAAATTAATAATTTTCGTCAGTTCTTTTTGTGATATAAGTTCAATTTGATATAAGTGAATCTCATCTTTTGAAGTGAAATACTTAATGTATTGCTGAAGATAAAATTTGAGCTGAATCCATGGCAATTCTGGGAGCACACTTCGGTGCCAAAATTCAACATAATCTGCATGGAATATAACTTGTTTTATGTGATACATCAAAACTTGATTGTTTGAACCCGGCCATTCCAAAATAATGTTCATTTGTTGGATTAAATACTCCAATCTTCCCTCTTTTTCGCTTTCGAGTAAGTTTGATTTTGGCGGTATAGGTATAGTGTAATTTGTATAAAAACGATATGTAAGTAAAGTGGTGTTAATGAATTTGGCAACTTCCTTAGGGATTTTAAAATGTTGATCATTTAAGTATGTTGCAGCCATTGCAAGTAACTCATCTTTAGAATCTGTTTTAAATGAATCCATAATTTGTAATATGTTGTCTTTTTGATCTTCTTGGATAGCACTAATTAATTTCCTAATTGCATGCACCTCTTCATTTCTTAATTTGGAATTGTATGGCAAAATGGATTTTAACCGAATAAGTTAACCAGTCACATTTTATCTTGTTATCAGTTTCTTCTGATTTCTAAAATACGTAAGACAGTATATAACGTGTTAATTATTCTAGTATTGATTTTTAAGGTCTACTCACCATTGGCTTAGAGCTAGTTAACTGAAATTCCTTAGATGCAGATGGTACGATTTTCAAAAATGTTTGTGGAAAAGGATCATTAACTGATGAATTTGATTCACTTTTCTTCAAATAATACATCAACTTACTAAAATTTAACAAAGCATTAATATATGTTGCTTTAAACCAAATAAATTAATTCATACGAGATTTTCAATTTGTTCCGTTTTACGTATTTGAATTTTATCTATTTCTTTCAGCTGATTCACTCCCAGCACTTTTGTTATTTTCTCTATTACAAATTCAGATGGATTGTCAAGTTCATCTGTAAGCAGTTTTGCAGTGTCTCTGACTGCCATTTCTTCATCGATACGCAATAACTCAACAAATGGATCCCCATGAGCAAGATGATGTCTAAGTTTTTCACCAGTTAAAGTTGGACACTTCTCTTGAAACCATTTTCTATTTGTGTTGAGTCTCTTCTGTTTTTCATTTAAGTTGTTTAATGTAATCATAAGTATGAATTCCATTTCCATATAATTATTTGTCGCATTTAGGGATTTTTGTAGTTGCTCTAAACAGTTTTGATATTCTGTTATATTTTCTTGTTTATCTTGGTCTTTGTTAATTTCAGATGTTAATAGCTTAATAATGTTAGAATATTCAATTTTACTTTTTTCTCTATCAGGATTCCGGCTCAAAATATTCATAATGACATTTTCATTTGTTACTTTATAGAAATTTGGCAATTCCCCAATGTCACGTGAATTATTTATAAACTTTTTGATGCGATCATTATATTTCTTACATATATAATTTGATCTAATATGGATAAAAGTTTTTGAAATATCATTCAAAGGCTCTTCAAATAATGTTGGTATTGTCTCAACACAATTGGGAATTCTTGTTAAATGAGATATTATATCTCTAAGGTGAATGATACCTGCAACATCTTCATCAAAAAAATATTCCTTAATATAATTTACCAAAGAATCTGAAACATTTGGTGTGATATCAGTTCGCTTTAGAGATTCACCAATTACTTGTATTATTCGTAATATGATTAAGCCCTTGTTTTTATGGTTAGATTTGTCAATATAATGACAAATTCTGTACAATTCGTAAACATCCCTTATTTCATGATATATCTTTTTAAAGTCCTCTATTATAGTCTTATCTTCACTTGTTAACTTAATTTTTGATGAATCTTTTTTATTCTTTACGCATAATAGCATTGTTCGAAACAAATTAATAATTTTCGTCAGTTCTTTTGGTGATATAAGTCCAATTTGATATAAGTGAATTTCATTTCTTGAAGTGAAATACTTAATGTATTGCTGAAGATAAAATATGAGCTGAAGCCATGGCAATTTAGAAAGTAACTTTTTGTAACCATATCGAACTGAATCTGCATGGAATATAACTTGTTTTATGTGATACATCAAAACTTGATTGTTTGAACCCGGCCATTCCAAAATAATGTTCATTTTTTGGATTAAATACTCCAATCTTCCCGCTTTTTCGCTTTCGGGTAAGTTTTGTTTTGGCTGTATAGATGTGTCATTTGTATAAAAACGATATCTAAGTAAAGTGGCGTTAATATATTTGGCAACGTCCTCAGGGATTTCAAAGTGCTGATCATTTAAGTATTTTACACTCATTGAAAGCAACTCATCTTTAGAATCTTGTTTAAATGAATCAATAATTTCCAATATTTCGTTTTCTTTGTCTTCTTGGATGGCATGAATTAATTCACTAATTGCATGCACTTCTTCATTTGTTATTGTATGGCATAAATTGGGTTTTAACCGCATATGTTAACCAGTCATATTCCAAAAATTCGAAGTGTCTTATAACTAAATTTTTGAAATATATTTCCCATTCGTCTTCTAGATTAAAGTAGTTCATCTCAGATTTTATCTTGTTATCAGTTTCTTCTAATTTCTAAAATACATAAAATAGTATATAATCAGTTAATTATTTTAGCATTCATATTTAAGTTATACTCACTGTTGACTCATAACAAATTAAGTAAAATCCGATCAAATAACAACATATGTGTACTGTGCTGCCATTTTCAAACACTGACAGTACTTTTTTCAACGATGTTCGAAGGCATAAATCATAAACTCCTAAATCTGTTCCACTTTTATGCAAATGATATATCAACTTACTAAAATCAGCAAAGCATTAATATTTATTATTTTAAATCGAACAAGTTAATTTATACATGGCATAACGTTGAATATGAGGATCATCCGTAAATGTCTCAATTGCATATTTAGCATGGTGTGCTATTATCTTACTCCAATGTCCATATTCAATTTTATTTTGTAATGCAATATTGAGTTTTTCTAAAATAATCGATGAATGGTCATATTTGGCACACTAAAATCAATCATATTTGAATTAAACGCAATATTATTGTTTTATATATACTTACTAAGATGGTTTCTAATTGATCTGCGATATTATATTTCGGTTGCGCTCTCCACTTATGGTCGAATATCTCTACAACAAAATCTATGCACTCTGTGACAATGTGCGATTCATCAGAAAAATGGAATAGTGTATTAATCGCTTTTTGTTTCCAAATGTTAAGTAAGTGCTCGTTTGACTCGTAGTATCCTAACATGCTTTGAGCCAATTTACTAGAAAAAAATGGATTAGACATGTTCACTCATTTTTATGTAGACATTAATACATTGCCCAATATTGAACCGATTTTTCCTCGGGGTTCATCTTCATTGCATATATTGTATTTGATAATACATTTTCAGCCACGCCTTTGTTGTCTCTAAAAATATTTGACTCACGCAAATTAATAATTTCATTGGCCAAGGTCTTAAACATTTGTAATTGATTTGAAGAATTATTGATAGCCTAAAAGAAAAGAATTTTCAAACTGTCCTCAAAAATTAATATCACATACGAGTATAGCTCGTTACCTGTTCGATTAAAACGTTAAATTCTTTCACACGATTTTCATTGACGGCAACATCTAAAGGTGTTTTGTCTTCATTATTCTTTTTAAATAATAATACTGGCAGGCATTGATACACTTGCTTAACTATTTCGGAGTTCCTACTTTGAACAGCAAAATGCAAGCTATTCATGACGTCTATTTCTTTATGTTCTTTTACTTTGAATACTTGTCCACTTTTAATAATCTCTCTTAATTCATTATATTTTTCAGTATTGGAATATGTATGTATTTCTTGATGGTTGATATTAGGATAATTGATTGCATATCCAATGTTGATAAGATAGTTCAACACTTCTTTAGCATGATAAAAGGAAGCTATACGATACATTCGAAAATTCATTGTCCCAGTACCCGATACTGTGTAATCTAGGTCTTTGAGTGACAAATAATAAATTGAATCCAATAATAGTTTTAGATTCTCTATATTATCACAACTTATTTGATAATAACAAACGTTCCAAAAGCTGTGAATTTTCTCAGTTTTCATTAATTTCTTGCATAATTCCAATATATCATTATTATCATTTTGTTGCAAGTATGTTCTGTCGTTCTCGAGCAATGCACAAATATGCAACTCGACAATGCGCTTTGCAATTTTGAAATTGTTTGAAGCTTGAAATAGTAAGCTACTATCTGTCTTTATTTGTTTCATATAGCTTGAACTTTCTTCAAGAACAAATTGAAATAGCTCTAAATTATCTTTCTTGTTTGCTGCAGCATAATGCAAGGCATTCCTTTTCCTTAAATCCTGCCAGTTAACCCACTCGGAACTAATATTTTGTAAGTAGTCTTTAAATTTTTCCAAATCACCTTCAATAATAATTTGAAACAATTTCTTCTCTTTTTCCAAGTGTGTTATTTGTTGATAATCGATTTTCCGCATCACTTCAATTGCGGGTCTTTTTGTAACCTTCTCGATCTTTTTATTGTTCTTATCGTTCATTTTCAATTCCTTAATCAGCATTATTGCTGTGTGTCTGGCTGCCATCTTTATATCCACATCCATTAATTCCACAATTGGATCTCCATGTGCAAGATGGTTTCTGAGTTGTTGGCCAGTTAATGTCGGATATTTCTCCATGAACCATTCCCGATTTGCATTCAATCTGCCTTGTTCTTGATTTAAATTATTCAATATGATCATAAGTAGCATTTCAATTTCTCCTTGCTCTTTATTATGATTGAGGGCATCTTCTAATTGTTTTAAGCAGTCATAATATGACAATTTTGGAGCATCATTAATTTCTTGGTTTATTGTCTTAATTAGATCTTTTTGAGAATCATATATATAATTATCAGAATCAGAGTCATAATCAGAATCGAATTCATTGAATATTGAATCTGAAATCTTTCGAAGTGTTGATTCCATTGTGTGGGTCAATTTGGCAACTTGTTTTATGTCATATTGATTACATTGTGGTATTCCTGTTAAGTGAGATATAGTGTCTCTGAGCATAATCAAGTTTTCGTAATCTGTTCCCAAATGCGACTTAAAATATTTTTTTAGGCGTAATGAAATATTTGGAGTTTGGCTTGTACTTTTTAAGCAATCACCAAATACTTGCAATATTCTTAAATTGTTTAAAAAACTAGTCCGTATTGTGCTGAACTTCTTCATTTTATCAATAGTGTAAATATCTCTAATGGAATCGTAAGTGTCTTCAAAATCCTGCAACATGTCTTGTATTTTCTTATCTTGCCACTTCTCTTTATCATGCATATTCTCTAGGCCAATTTTCCACAACTTAATATAATTAATCAATTTATCATTTGACATTAATGATGCCAGAGTGTTGCGATTGCCTGTTGCGTAGAAATATTTAATATATTGTACGCAATAAAATATTAGTTTGATCCATGGCAGTTTTTTAGTTTCAGAGCGAAATAAGTATCTTACTTCATTAGCCATTAATACTACTTGTTTGATATGATATAATAATATTTTATCCGTTGGACCTTTCCAGATCAAAATTGCGTCCATATGTTTCATCATGTACCTATTCCAATATGTTTGTTTTCTTGGCTTTACTTAGTTGCAGTTGCTTTCCAACACCAGGAGAATAAAACCGCAATGGAAGCAAAGAAATGCCAACAAACTCACTGATGTTATAAGAAATTGGAATATTTTGTTCCAATAAATATTTCCAACTTATCGAGAGACATTCATCTTTCAATTCGTCCGACCATGGTTCTAATATTTCTAAAATCATCTCCTTGTCTGCATCAAGAATAGCTCCAATTAACTTACACACTCCATCCACTTGTAAATCGTTTAAAGTACAATAATCTCTAACGGCTTTGGGTAGTGCCATTTTGTCAGTACTAAAATTGTCATAATATATTAATTAATAATACGTATACAAACAATAAACGCTTACCTCATTTTCGCAAAGCTTGTGAGGTTGTTTAATGTTTGAGTAGAAGAAATATTTAATTTCCTACGTTTGCATTTAATGTCACGCAATCGTTGTCGCTTTTTAATTCATTACAAAGTCACACCTGACTGAAACATAGGTACACAAATATAAGTACAGCAGAAACCTTTGATAAGATTATTTGTAGATAACGATACTGAGAATTAGAGTGGGAGATCATCTTTGGAAAAATCATTTCAATTTATTGCGTCGCATTTATCAATCCGTCGGACTTGAAGTTTCAAGTGGCATACATAGGATGTTCGCGCCGTGATTGAAGTGGACGAGGTAGGCTTTATTTTAAAGTGTTAGTTATCAGGCAAAATGTGAGTTGAGTTGTAGACGCACCAACTGCGTCGTGGTATGTTTTAGCAAAATCTAGTAATTAATTTAAATCTGGTTTGAATTGAATATGTAACTAGAAGTAACTAAATAATGACTTGTTAATTGACTCTTACCTCTGTTAGCCCTTATCAAGGGTTTTTAGGTATAAAATAATTGAATGTAGTTAACTCTTTTTATATTCTATTGAAAAGTCAATTTATATGTGAAGCTTTTGCTTACAAGGTATTTGTATAAATATGTTATGCGCTAGATCTTGTTTCAAGCATGTGCGAAAAAGCGCAAATAAACGTAAACTTGTAATAAAATAATATTAAAAACCATATTATAACATCCTGTATTATATTTAATTGACAGAAACAACGCAAATAATAAACAAGAAATTACAGTTACCATTTAAGTTAGATATAGATATATTTATATACCATAATATTATATCAGCTTTAATATATAACTTAAATAAAACTAAGTTAAATAAATAACTTAACTATTATTAATTATTTTTTCCGTATTTTATCGTAACCATAGAATATAGTTGTTTTAATCACACCATCAGTCTTCATCGTGTTTTGATGTACATTTTCCGAACAACATAATTTCTGGTAACTTTGGTAAATAATAAAGAATTCTACTTCATCTTCTAAAAGTACTTTATTCATGGCCATGATCGCCCGTGCTTTTTGTGTCTCAAAACTGTGGCAAAACTGGCGGTTTCAAGGTTGTAAAGCTTTAAAGTAGAAAAAGAAAACTATATAGAAGAGGAAATGATAATGATGATTAACTAATTTTAGTACCTTTCTATTAGAGTCCGACCGAAACTGGATTTTAGCCGAAACCGAAACCGAAACCGAAATTTCGGCCGTGCAATCAGTTTCGGCCGAAACCGAAACCGAAACTAATTTACATAAACATATTTTTCTACTTTTACCTACACATCGCTAGTTTTTCCACGTTTTTTAGATACATAAACCATTTCGGGAGTAAAATCCTTGTTTAGTCACTTGATACTTAATATAGTATTAATATGAGCGAACTAAGATGGCAAGTAACGACCGCCATTAGCCGCGAAGTTAACCGAGCGACGCACGATAATTCACGAAAAGTGAGTTTCGGTGGCCGAAAGTTTCGGCCAATAACTTTGTTCTGCCTCGCTTTTTACGTGCAATTTCTTGTTCTTCTTCAGTCCTTTCATTCGCAATCCTTTGAATCCTAGTTGCATTACGGTTTTGTTGATAAGATTTGATCGTTTTTTGGTCCCTGTGGAAGCTACGAAGCATCGCACAAAGAAGAGACGGAGAAAACTCGTTTAGTATCTTCCAAAAAGTTTCTCACTTCAAAATTTATTTAAAAGTATCCTACACTTACTATGTCCTATTCAAACAAACACATCAACCGGGCAACTTCAACCAACACGTACACCCACACGCACATCTATGCTTAGGGGAAGCTACGAATCGCACAAAGAGGAGACGCTATTAGTGTGCTCTTTTACTCCCGTAGGCTAAACCATATAAGCGCATATGTTTGTTTCCTTTTAGATTTGTATAAAAACGGTACGTAAGTAAAGTGGTGTTAATGAATTTTGGCAACTTCCTTAGGGATTTTAAAATGTTGATCATTTAAGTATGCTGGCAGCCATTGCAAGTAAATCATCTCTTTAGAATCTGTTTTAAAATGAATCCATAATTTGTAATATGTTGTCTTTTGATCTTCTTGATAGCACTAACACTTCCTAAATTGCATGCACCTCTTCATTTTTAATTTGGAATTGTATAAGTATGTAAACTGGATGTTAACCGCATAAGTTAACCAGTCAGCTACTTATCTTGTTATCAAAGTTTGGATTTCTAAAATACGTAAGACAGTATATAACGTGTTAATTATTCTAGTATTGATTTTTAAGGTCTACTCACCATTGGCTTAGAGCTAGTTAACTGAAATTCCTTAGATGCAGATGGTACGATTTTCAAAAATGTTTGGGGAAAAGGATCATTAACTGATGAATTTGATTCACTTTTCTTCAAATAATACATCAACTTACTAAAATTTAACAAAGCATTAATATATGTTGCTTTAAACCAAATAAATTAATTCATACGATGCATATGGTTGAATAAGAGGATCATCCCTAAATGTATCAATTGCATATTTGGCATGGTGTGTTATTCTCTTAATCCAATGTTCATATTCGATTTTATTTTTTAATGCAATATTGAGTTTCTCTAGAATGACTGATGGATGAGAATATCTGGCACACTAAAACCAATCATATTTAAATTTAACATAATATTATTATTCTATACAAGCTTACTCGCTTTAAGATAGATTCTAATTCGTATTCGATGTTATATTTCGGTTCTGCACTCAACTTATGGTCGAATATCTCTACAACATAACCTATACACTGTTTGACAATGGGCGATTCATCAGGAAAATGGAATAGTGTATTAATTGCTATTTGTTCCCAGATGTTAATCAAGTGCTCATTTGAATTGTAGTATCCTAACATGCTTTTAGCCAATTTACTAGAAAAAATGGATTAGACATATTCACTAATTTCTGGTGAGACATTAATACATTGCCCAATATTGAACCGTCTTTTCATCGGGATTCATATCCATTGCATTTATTGTATTTGATAATACATTTTCAACTACGACATTGTTGTTCCGAAAAATATTTGATTCATGCAAATTAATAATTATAGCTGCCAACATCTTAAACAATTGTGGGAGTTTCCATGTATTATTGACTGCCTAGAAGAAAACAAATTTCAAAGTACAAAAAAAATTCAGTAAAACAAATGACTAGTTACCAGTTCCATTAAAATATTAAATTCCTGAACACGATTCTCCTCGATGGCGACATCTAAAGGTGACTTGCATTTATTATTCACTGTAAATAACAAAACTGGGAAGCATTGATACACTTGTTTAACCATTTCTGGATTCCCACTTTTGATAGCAAAATGCAAGCTGTTCATGACGTTAAAGTCATCATCATGACATTGCTCTAACATATCTGGTGATTTTTTTCTATATTCTTTTACTTTGAATACTTGTCCACTTTTAATAATCTCTCTTAATTCATTATATTTTTCAGTATCGCAATATTTAACTATTTCTTCATTGGTGATATTAGGATAATCTTTATGATATAAAATTGTATACCCAATGTTGATAAGATACTTCATCACTTTTTTAGCATTAAAAGTGTAAGCTATTTGAAACCATGAAGTCGTCATTTCAGAACTTACGCGTAATTCCCTCTCATAAATTTCATCTAACATAAGTTTAAGATTGTTTAAATAATCGCAACTTATTTGATAATAACAAACGTTCCAAAAGCTGTTAATTTTCTCAGTTTTGATTAATTTTTTGCATAATTCCAATATATCATTATTATCATTTGGTTGCAAGTATGTTCTGTCGTTCTCGAGCAATGCACAAATATGCAACTCGGCAATGCGTTTTGCTATTTTAAAATTATTTTGTCTTAAAGCTTGAAATAGTAAGCTACTATCTGTCTTAATTTGTTTCATATAATTTGAACTTTTTTCAAAAATAAATTGAAATAACTCTAAATTATCGTTCTTGTTTGCTGCAGCATATTGTAATGCATTTTTCTTTCTTAAATGATGCCAGTTAATCCATTCGGAACTAATATTTTTTAAGTAGTCTTTAAATTTTTCCAAGTCACCTTCCATAATAATAAGAAACAATTTCTCCTGTTCTTCCAAGTGTGTTATTTGTTGATAATCAAATTCCTGCATCACTTCAATTGCGGGTCTTCTTGTAACCTTCTCGATCTTTTCCTTGTTTTCATCGTTCATTTTCAATTCCTCAATCAGCATTGTTGCTGTGTGTCTGGCTGCCATCTTTATATCCACATCCATTAATTCTACAATTGGATCTCCATGTGCAAGATGGTTTCTGAGTTGTCGGCCAGTTAGTGTTGGATATTTCTCCATGAACCATTTCCGATTTGCATTCAATCTGCCTTGTTCTTGATTTAAATTATTCAATATGATCATAAGTAGCATTTCAATTTCTCCTTGTTCTTTATTATGATTGAGGGCATCTTCTAATTGTTTTAAGCAATCATTATATGACAATTTTGGAGCATCTATAATTTCTTGGTTTATTGTCTTAATTAGGTCTTCTTGAGAATCATATATATTATTATCAGAATCAGAATCATAACCAGAATCGAATTCATTGAATATTGAATCTGAATTCTTTCGAAGTGTTGATTCCATTGTGCGCGTCAATTTGGCAACTTGTTTTATGACATATTGATTACATTGTGGTATTCCTGTTAAGTTAGATATAGTGCCTCTGAGTTTAATCAAGTTTTTGTAATCTGTTCCCAAATGCGACTTAAAATGTTCTTTTAAGCGTAATGAAATATTTGAGTTCTGGTCTGTACTTTTTAAACATTCACCAATTACTTGCAACATTCTTAAATTACTCAAAAAACTTCTTTGCACTGAGCAGTACCTTTTCATTCTTTTCACAACGTATTTATCTCTTATGTAATCATAAGTGTATTCAAAATCCTGCAACATGTATTGTATATCCTGATCTTGCATAATCTTTTTAGAATTCATATTCTCTAAGCCGATTTTCCACAACTGAATATAATTAATCAATTTATCATTGGACATAAATTCTGTTAATGATTTCCGATAATTTGTTGTGTTAAAATATTTAATATATTGTACGCAACAAAATATTAGTTTGAACCAAGGCAGCTGTTCAGTTTCAGAGCGAAACAAGTATTTTACTTCATTAGCCATTAATACTACTTGTTTGATATGATATAATAATATTTTATCCGTTGGACCTTTCCAGATCAAAATTGCGTCCATATGTTTCATCATGTATTTCAATATGTTTGTTTTATTGGCTTTACTTGGTTGCAGTTGCTTTTCAACACCAGGAAAATAAAACCGCAATTTAAGCAAAGAAATGCTAACAAACTCACTAATGTTGTAAGAAATTGGAATATTTTGGTCCAATAAATATTTGCAACTTATAGACAGATATTTATCTTTCAATTCGTCCGACCATGGTTCTAATATTTCTAAAATCCTCTCCTTGTTTTCATGACGAATAGCCCCAATTAACTTCGAAATCACATCCGCATGTTCATCAGTTAAGTTATGCTTGAGTGGTAGATATTTATCTCTAATGGCAACAGCTAATTTATCTTTATTGGAACTAAAATTGTGAACAAGTTTGTTTTAAATTAATATACTCTATAATAATTTTAACTCACTCCATGTTAAGGCTGATATATTTAGACACAAGTGCGACAGATTTGCCACCACTGAATTTGATATCTACCTAAAATATCTGGAACAATTATGACAAGTATTATTGGAGACAAGAAAAACATCACGTAAATAATAGAGTCCGACCGAAACTGGTTCTTAGCCGAAACCAAAACCGAAATTTCAGCCCTGCCCTCAGTTTCGGTTGAAACCGAAACCGAAACTGTAACTTACATAAACATATTTTTCTACTTCTACCTACAAAGCGCCAGTTTTTCCACGTTTTTTAGATACAAAATCAATTTCGTGAGTAAAGTCCCCGTTTAGTCACTTGATACTTAATATAATATTAATTTAAGTTTCTATGTGCAAACTGAGATGGCAAGTAACGACTGCCATTGGCATTGGCAATTCATTCTCTAGTAAATAATAATATTAAGGAATCAATTAAGTCGGCAGAGATGCAAAAAAAAACCAAAGCTATTGTTTTACTAAATAAAGGCCCCGTTTAGCCACTTGATACGTCCTTAAAATTAAAATTAAATAAATCAAAGTATCAGCATTTTGTGCGTCAAAACCGTGGAAACATGGCACGTTTCATCTCGTGACTAAATCCCGTGACTAAAAGACTTTAATTAAATGATAACAGTTGCAATAGGGAAGTGTCTCTTAAATTGTTAATTTCAAGTCACTACAATTACTAATCAAATCACTTCCCAACAAAACATCTCCTGATAAAGGCCAAATCAATAACGAAATGAATAAAAAATATCCAAACAACTTTATTCTTCAACTAGTAAAAATCTATAATGCATACTACCAACTACGTGTAAATTAATCCCCAAAAGAATTTAAACACTCTGTAATGATCCCAATAGCAAAACCAAACAAAAACCTTAATTTCTATACTCGGTAAAAACTTACCAAAAAAAATATTAATGTGGAACGAACAAAGCACACCCAATTACTTAAAGTTATATCTGACTTTCAATTTGGCTTCCGAAAACAAACAAAGGAAAAACAACAACAATATTGTTTATGAAAAGGCGTTGCAATAAATTACATTTTAAAACACATGGACTATTATTTCGACAGGTATTGCAACGCATGCAGTTAGTATAAAATATGGAATATACATGGGGGTAATTACCCCCAGGTTAGAAACATAGAAACCACTGAGGTAGGTATAAAACCGTAAATCAACTCGGAAGACTCTTGTAATTAGAAAGTGAATGTTGTGTGCAATTAAATAGTAATTATTAAAATGTGTGCTCCTAGAAATTTGTATTTCTATGATTAAGTATATTTTTGTTTTTTTGTGGTATTATACATAAATTCGATCAAAATGAAAACTAACAAAAAGTTTAAATTCTACTTTTCTCACCCCTGTATTGTGTACGCCGGAACACCGTGCAGCACCGTGTTGGTACATGGGGAGCGCTCGTTGGCACTGTGGTGCTGGTTGTAGGCAGCGGAGTTGTTAGCACGGCTTGCAGTTTGGCACAAGTTTGGCAGAGTGACTCTAAGCAGCGCTGCTGGAATACTAAGTTATTTTTAAATCTGTTGGGATATACAAATCCATATAAGTGTGTGCAAATACGTTCTGAAAAGTTTACTATATTTTGTAATCAAATAAGCTGTATCTAGCTATGCTAGCTAGTTTATATATGCCAAATAGTCACAGCTAACAAATCTTTCAATTGAATCAAATATATGTAACTATTATTATGATTATAATTATTTTTTTACTCACTTTTGGATAATCAAAATGTATAAATTAGCTTAGGCACAATTGTTTTAAATTTTCAACGCGCACGATGCACTGGGCGTTTCTGTAGTGTGTTTAATATATGACCAATGTTTAAATAAATAGTTAAAGCAGTATTCCAGCAGTATGACGCATTTCTATCCCACTAACATCCGGACACGACATTGATACGATTGCGATTACTAACCATATAATAACGGTAGCGGTTTTAGCATATCCGTGGATTATTTCAAGCATTCACACTTACAGAAGCTCCAGCTGCAGTATGTAGAGAATTTTTATGCGTAGTATTTAAATATACGGACGATTTGGCGTAAGTAAACGTACTTGGAACTGAAGCAGAACCATACTGAAAATAAACGCTGCTGAAAATGTTTAATTTCAACTTTCCATCAATAAACTCTTCCTAAAATGTAAACGAAAAACATGTCAAAATGAAATAACAACATGAAGTTCTACAGAAAGCTGGAATTTTTTACGAACGTGCAACAATGAAAAATTTTGTATGTTTGAGTTTTAACAATATCGGTTCTCGAGTTTTTCAATTGAGATTATTCGTGGACTCCTGGTTTCTGAACTTTCTGCAAGTGACGAGCGCTCTCATTACATAGTATAGACTTGAAAATCTAACAACTCATTGAAACTTTTAAATGCTTGAAAATAATGCATAAATGTAAATGTCGTGTCGCGATTGAATAACGGTTGGTGTCAAACTTGTTTCTGCAAATCATTTTGTTGTTTTCTAAAATAGTGAATTGTCTCTCAGCTGCAAAATTTTTCTTACGAAAAAAAACCAGCAGGGTTTCGCGTTGATTCACCCGTGGTGCCAAATGGCATCCTTCGATCGTATTTATATCTAAGACCAGCGGACGCGACAGGCTTCGTCCTGTCAGATTTGGAATGTGGCAGTTTCTTGTTCCTACCTATTTTTTACTCGGCGCAAATAATAACAAATATCAGTTTTGATGTTTTTCCACCACGGGAACAGGCCACATACAATTGACCATGTGTAAAACATGGGTTTTCTAAATTGATATCTATATTTATATGGATGAGGTATGCAGTGAACAAAACTGTTGTTGTTGTTGATTTTACGATTTATTTACCGCATAACTTGCACAAAAGCTTAAAAGCGAATGAATTACGCAAATGAAGGTCTTTGGAACATTCCTGCTAATGTTGCAAGAATGATGCAGCTGCAGTCTGGAGTGAACTTAGAGAACCAAGCATATAATTGCAGCTGTTCCCTGGCAGGTGTTTTGCCAAATGCATATGATAACACTTCGACGTGTTATCGATACGTTTGTCGGATTTGGTCCGAACAACTCGATAGACAACGTTTTGTGCAATTTGTTTCTGTTGAAAAAAGAAAACTCAGCTTTTCCCCATTTTCCCGGCAATTATTCGAATCTTTCTCGTCGTTAAAACTACCCTTTGACTTTAACGAACATTTAAAAAAAAGAATTGGTCAAATTGGTCCAGGCGATGCTGAGAAAAGTGGTTACCAACACTTTTTGCGATTCATTTTTATATCATAGATTCTTAATTTCCCTAAACCAATGTAACAACGTCTGCTTGCATCTAGGAAAACTGTTGCACCAAAATGTCGTAAATCCCTACTAATAATATAAATGCGAATGTCCTGATGTTTGTTACACTTTGACGCAAAAACTGCTTAACAGATCATCATGAAAATTTGTACACATATTCTTAGTGGTCCCCGAAAGGTTATAGGCTACTTTTTATTTAATAAAAAAAATTATTTTTTAAATAAAATATAGAAATTGTTTAGTCAATAATACCTCTGCATCTGGTTATTTGACTACTTTAACGCCATCTAGCATTCCAGCAATGAAGCTCAAACCTAAGTACTATAGTACCATCACACTGTATTATCACACTGTATTACCGACAGCTACGTCAACATCAAATCCAATTGACTACACTATGGAGACACTTTCAGCCATTTTAAACTTCCCGCCATTCTACTTCATTGTTACTTCTTCTGTGACTACAGACGCGTACGGAAGCTACTTCAGTGATTTCTAATATTTATTTGATGGATTCAACGCGAGCGAAGCCGCGGGATAAAGCTAGTAAGTTTATAAAACCTTAGGATTAAGGAAAAAATAAATGAGCAAAGCCAGTCTCCAATATGTACATTGCTACATATTTAAACATTTCTTACATTAATATGATGTACTTAGAATTCTGAGTAATATTTCTGTAGAAAATATGCGATGAGAACATTTATGGTTATATGAGTAACCTTTGTTTGTTCAGGTAGAATAAACTAAGTTTTCAAGTTTTAAATAACTTGGTTTACGTTATCTGGCGAATAAACTAATGAGAGTCTCGCATCTATAAACATATAGCAGAAGGTATTATACGGCAAATTCTGAGAATTTTTGACAACCTTGAGAAACTTTACAAAATTTGTTGAAAATCTCCTACTAACCTATAAATTAAGCTAAAATTAATTCAAAATCAGTCAAAACGTTTTTACGTCTACGCACATTCTATGATTCTACTATCAAATAAAGCCTAACGCAGAAATCTGAAACACATCTGAAAACACATCTACACATACAAGGGCGGCCTGAAAAGTTTCCGACCTCCGACGAAAAGTAGTATTACTATTTAGGTAGTATTTGGACGTGTTATAGGTTACAATGGGAACATCGCAGAGAGAACTGTGTATAGTAAACTATTTTATTACTTTCATTTCTGAATGCGTAATCCATTGTATAATTTAAAAATATTTATTTATTATATTTCTACGTGATTTTTACAGGATTTTACAATTTTATATAAAAAATAAGACGAAGAAGGCTGCGGAATTTGTTTCGTTAATCGATTGAAAAAAGAAAACCTCAGCTTTTCCCCGTTTTCCCCGTAATTATTCCAATTTTTGTCGCCGTAAAAACCACCCTTAGACTTTAACGAACATTTTAAAAGAAGAATTAGCCAAATTGGTCTAGGCGTTGTTGGGTGAAGCGGTTACCAACACATTTTGCGATTCATTTTTATATTTTAGATAATTAAATTATTAATTTTAAGTGTATTTAGCACGATTAGTTCAGTTAATCAATTTTTACATACTTACACACATACCTATTGTTGTACATTACTGTTTGTCTACACTAGAATTTATCTAGAAACTAAAAATAATTTAAATGGCAAAACAACGTTTGCCAAGTTAACAAGTTTTTCTATCACGGTTATGTTCGTTGAACTACCATACGTGCAAGGAGAAATAAACCACATGCATAAAACTAACCAATTTAAATTATTATATGCATGGTATATAATTATGCCGCATTTTGTGATGATGTAGATTTTGCCGTGCATTTGTAGAATTAAACTATACCGGGACACTTAAGGATGCTTAATTGAAATTACATAAACATGTAAACATGGAGCAACAAGAGTGATAGAATATCTTATCGGCATTGGATATGATTTTAACTGGTGAGTGAGATGTAACTGAGAATCCCGAAATGGTTAAACAAGTTTATCAACGTCTCCCTCATTTAGTGATAACCGCTAAAATAAGTATTACCGTACTGGGATATTCTAACAAATATCAAAATGTACCTTCTTATTGCTATTGCAAAGTATATGCCCCAATTTGCCAATTAAGGTATGAAGAATCTTGAGTAGTATTTTCAATGACAACATGTTCAGAATGTTAATACAAAATATTATGGATACTCCAACTGATTTGAATTTAGCAGAAATGGTACATTTTCATTGTCGGCATCTGTATACCTATGATTGTGTTAAGCCAAAGTGGGAAAACCTTTACACTAGGAATTATTTTCTTGTCTTATCTTATAAAGAATTTTCCAAACTTTCAAAATCTTTTAAACTAAAATCGCTAGCGACTAGACGATCAAAGATATTCACTATCGAAAATCCTCGAAAAAAAAATTATGGTATTTATAATCATTATCTTTGATTAGTCGATAAATTCCTGAATAATATCTTGTGTTTAATTTTATAATCATTTATTTTTTACCTGATTATGAAGTACTTTTTACTGAATTACCTACTCTTTACTGAATATTTTCTTCTAGATAAGGAAGTATAATTTATAATCACGTTATAATTGAAATCGAGCGTGGTGTTACATTATAATTAACCGCGACGAACATTTACATTCTTTGCGAGACCAGACGGTTAAATTAAGGTTTATTCTCTTGAGTTTGTCAAGAAAGTCAAGAAAGAATGTTCTTTGTTTATTTCGTTATATAGTTGAAATTGTATTGTTGAGTCTCATTCGGTGTACCGTAGCAAGGTGACGGTAGAAGTGATTCGTGTTCAGGGCACCGTCTGAAGGTAGCGGTAGAAGTGACTCGATTCAGGGCACCGTACGAAGGTAGCGATAGAAGTGGCTCGTGTTCAAGGCACTTGTTTCTTTTTTTCGGGTTTGCACGCTATCTAGGCGGCTCAATAACTTCCGCGCGGCGTCTAAAGATGCGGAATTAACCTGTGAAAATTTGCATAAAAGGGTGATTTTGTCATACTTTCTCGTGAAATGTATTTTTTCGAGTTTGCACGCAAAAATATTGTTTGCGTATCCTAGGCAAATATACAAAACTCAAGCGCAATTAATTTTTCGTCGTATACCTTTGAAATATCTTCAATAATTTAATAATAAAGGCCAAAATACAAAAATAAAAATAAATTTTACGCATGACGTCCTTTCTTTTTCAAAACAATTATTATTTCATTTTTTAAGTTTCCAATTTAACTAGCCTATTTTATTGGGAGTTTTAGGTAGATTAAAAATCTTCAATCCGTTTGACTTATTGCATTATTGTATAAAACTGCTATTCATTTAGTTTGGGAGGCGCATGAACATTTTCCCGTACGTGTCTCACAGGACGCTACCATTTAAGTGCGTGACTAGTCACTGACTCATAAACAATTCCACACTGCTACACCTGCGCGCCCCACTGCATGAAACACTTTGTATTTTGGTGAGGTACTAGAAAATATCTTCAGATGGCGAAACAGTGCAGATTAAACTAAAAATATTACAGCGCGTGAATTTTGTTTTGTTGCATCGGTGCGATAACGGCGAGGATACATTCCAGACTTTTGGCTTGTGTTATTCTTTGATATTGGATAGGCAAATCGCGTTTTATTTCATGATTGCCGGTGATAATTAGTGTTAATAAACGTGTTTAATTTATTATCGCGTGTGTAATCTTCGTAATTCTAAATTCTGCGTGTTTAGGGTATTCACGTGTTTGTGAGTTCGTTGTCGTCGGGCGACGGCCGGCAATGTTTTTTGAATGCCAATAATTAAATGACACGTAAAAGACATTTATATCATCAGCAGATGATTATGGACTAATGTGCTACATGGTAAATATTGTCATTCCTATCATTACTAGGCGAATAAAAGAAATTTTATGTAAAAACTGGGTTCCGACGGAACTCAGATTCATTTCAACATGGTACAAAATGCTGTTACTAATATTT